GAGTCTAAAACAAATTGCTTTCCAACTGCAATTAGGGTCCATGCCATCTTTTCATTATTAGAGAATATGGAAAATTGCCCTCATGATTATGTATTTCAACTCTCATGTACATACCACATTGAGAGAGACCCAGCACCTCTTTGAGGACTGACTGGTCAAGCTGCAGGCTTTCCATGTCTTAATAGACATCTTATCTAGCAGAGAGCACCCAGGATTTGCTTTAACCCTTAAACTGTCCAAACGTAGATCTACGTTTTTTCAACATTTGAAAGTATGTAAAAAAAGTAGTATTTTTTTTTTTACATTTGAGAACGTGTAAAAAAACTTTGAACTACTATTTTTTTTGTTATATTTGAAAATATGTAAAAAAACGTAGATCTACTTTTGGAGCACTACGCATGTGAACGTAGATCTGCTTGGACAGTTTAAGGGTTAAACATCTTCAGTACACTGACCTCCCTTAACTCCCACTTTCAATGCTGACTCGTTGACTTTTTAATAAATTAAACTATTGCACTAACTTTAACATATATTTTGGTTTAGAAAGACACGTAAGCAAACACTAACATATTTATTAGAAAACGTTTCGGTCCTGGGACCTTGATCACTTCTAACATACAGAGGTAGAAAGATATTATATATATACAGTGGACCCCCGGTTAACGATATTTTTTCACTCCAGAAGTATGTTCAGGTGCCAGTACTGACCGAATTTGTTCCCATAAGAAATATTGTGAAGTAGATTAGTCCATTTCAGATCCCCAAACATACACATACAAACGCACTTACATAATTGGTCACATTCGGAGGTAATCGTTATGCGGGGGTCCACTGTATATATATATATAGGCGGAGAGTGAGGTGTGATGCACGTGACCTGAGGAATGTCATAAGAACATAAGAATGGAGGAACACTGCAGAAGGCGTACTGGCCCATGCGAGGCAGGTCCTTATCAAAACAACCTCTACCTATGATGAGGATGGGTAGACGATGAAATCATGTGACTCCTGTGTTGTTGGGTTGGTGCTGCTGAAGTATCACGTACGCCAATGTTTTTGAAATTTTGTAGTTTCCAGTGTTGCGTTCTATAGTGTCGGTGACGGCGATTAGTGAGGCTTCTAGGCACCGTCGGCGTCTGAGGTCTGGTTCTGTGAGAATGAGTTGTGCCTCATTCCAGTTCATCAAATGCCCCGTGGAGTCTCTGTGGAGGACACATGCGTACCTTACATCGTCTCTGTTAGAGGCATTTCGATGTTCATTCAGGCGGACTGCAAGATCTCTGCCTGTCTCGCCTACATATTTCTTGGGACAGAACCCACAGGGGATAGTGTAGATGCCTGCTCACACCTCTAACTTCTACAGCAGGTGTCTACACTATCCCCTGTGGGTTCTGTCCCAAGAAATATGTAGGCGAGACAGGCAGAGATCTTGCAGTCCGCCTGAATGAGCATCGAAATGCCTCTAACAGAGACGATGTAAGGTACGCATGTGTCCTCCACAGAGACTCCACGGGGCATTTGATGAACTGGAATGAGACAACTCATTCTCACAGAACCAGACCTCAGACGCCGATGGTGCCTAGAAGCCTCACTAATCGCCGTCACCGACACTATAGAACGCAACACTGGAAACTACAAAATTTCAAAAACATTGGCATACGTGATACTTCAGCAGCACCAACCCAACAACACAGGAGTCACACGATTTCATCGTCTACCCGTCCTCATCATAGGTAGAGATTGTTTTGATAAGGACCTGCCTCGCATGGGCCAGTACGCCTTCAGCAATGTACCTCCATTCTTAAGTTCTTATGACATTCCTCAGGTCATGTGCGTCACACCTCACTCTCCGCCTATATATATATAATGTCTTTCTACCTCTGTATGTTAGAAGTGATCAAGGTCCCAGGACCGAAACGTTTTCTAATAAATATGTTAGCGTTTGCTTACGTGTCTTTCTAAACCAACTTGTCGGTATTTATTACCAAGGTTTATACCAACGTATATTTTACACCTGCACTAACCCTGTATCTTTCCACATCTTCGTACCTTAGTACTGTATGACCCATATGGGTTTAGCATGCTTTATAATGTATGATATATGGGTTAACAAACTGTTATGTTCATCTGATGCTGTTGTCTCTTTAAATGTCTCTTAATATGGCTTTGCATAGAATTTTGTTTAGATATTTTGAGGATAAAAAATTTGAAGTTTATGTATTTAGAATGTAATGAAATAAAAATACCATCACTAGAAAGAATACCACATTTTGATAAAATACACACGTGCAACACTTGGGTATCTTTAATGAGGAAAAGAATACAGCATATGTGCGGAGAAGTAGCTTATATACCGTAGGCAGGAGAGGTGCATCAGTCGTAGGTGGTATCACATTTGTCCAATGTGAAAGTAGGTCGTGCCCAAGGGTTAGGCAAGTGAAGAATTCCCTGTATTAAGATCCCAAGATGTTGCTGTGTCAGACAGGAATGTAGATGAATGGTTCAGAGAATCGACAAAGATACCCAAGTGTTGCACTTGTGTCTAATTTATCAACTTGTCAGTTCTCTGAGCCATTCATCTAAATACCACATTTACCAGATGGTAGTACATCCAGGAAAAGCACTAAGGTATTTGACAAGAATATTTAATGATATGTGGGTGAGTAATTACAACATCTTGTAGGAATAAGGAAGAGACGTACATGACTGTGGGAAAAGTGCATGAGGCAGCAGACAGATATTAGGAGGTAAAGCAGCTGGGATGGGATTATAATCATGGGGGAGCACAAAACCTATAGGATTATACAGTGCATATGGGATGGGGGATGGAAGGTATTCAGGCTCAATTCAGGGAACCAGAGCAGACTCCCAATTCCCAAGATCAACACCCCCTCATCAGTATCGAGGAACCTCCCTCGAGGGAATGGGATTGGGATAATGCAAATGCAGGTGGGGATATAGTTCAGTATGGCTGAGGGAAGGGAGGATATCCAAGGATTGGCACAGAGCATGCATAGTTCATTTGTAACCAGCGGGTCCAGTGGCTTATGCACTGGCCTGGAGTTTTATGACACTTGCCATGGGTTCTAACTCCACCCTTACTGTGGTTCATTTGCATAAGGTGCAAGTGTAAAAAATTTTAGGGGAACAAACCTGTCGAGTATAGTATACAGGACAGTGGATGGAGAAGTTATTGAAAGAATTAGGGGTAAGATAGAAAGTAGGATTGCAGAGGAAGTGTGAAGGATGTGTAGACCAAGTGTTTACATTGAAGCATATGATAATACTTTGGTGAAGGTAAGGAACTTCTCACATTTATGAAAGGAATGTGATATGGAAGCAGTGTGTCATATGTTACAAATGTATGGAATAGGTAGTCAAAGTAAGAAAATTTTATGCAGCGAGGCTCTGGTTATTTTATGTCGGAAGGGGATATTTTTTTTTTTTTTTTCTTCAACAAGTCGGCCGTCTCCCACCGAGGCAGGGCGACCCAAAAAAGAAAGAAAATCCCCAAAAAGAAAATACTTTCATCATTCAACACTTTCACCACACTCACACATTATCACTGTTTTTGCAGAGGTGCTCAGAATACAACAGTTTAGAAGCATACACATATAAAGATACACAACATATCCCTCCAAACTGCCAATATCCCAAACCCCTCCTTCAAAGTGCAGGCATTGTACTTCCCATTTCCAGGACTCAAGTCCGACTATGAAAATAACCGGTTTCCCTGAATCCCTTCACTAAATATTACCCTGCTCACACTCCAACAGATCGTCAGGTCCCAAGTACCATTTATCTCCATTCACTCCTATCTAATACGCTCACGCACGCTTGCTGGATTATTTTCCCATAAAAGTAGGCTTTAGACAAGGATGTGCGATGTCAACATGTTTTTTAACATATAGATGGAGTTGTAAAATACATGTATAAGAATGCTGGAGTGCTAGGAAGAGGTGTGGGATTAAAAGATAATGAATTTGATACAAAGTAGTTGTCAGTTATTCTTTGCCAACGATACATTCTTTAAGAGAAATTACAAAGGATAATGGAGGAATTTGAGAAGGTGTGTAGAAGAAAATTAAAAGCTAATGTAAAAAAAAAAAACAAGGAAGGTGATGAGTTAACATATTCTAGGCAGTGAAAGATTGAATATCAGATTGGAGGGAGTAAATGTGTTCAGATATTTAGGAGTGAACTTGTTGGCAGATAGGTTACTGTACTGAGAGTGGGGAAAGGTGGGTGGTGCATTGAGGCATCTTTGGAGATAAACTACTTTATCCAAGAAGGCAGATAGGGAAATGGACCAGAGGGTAGTAGTACCAACATTTATAAGAGATTGGATTTTAAACGTTACAGTAGGGAGGAGGTTGGAGGCCTTGGAGATATTGTGGTTTAAGGGCAACGTGTGGTGTGAATATTATCCGGAGAATTTGGATATTAGAAATGGGGTTACCTAAAGTATAAATCAGGGGCTGTTGAGGTGGCATAGGCAATTAGAGAGGAAGAAAAATAAGATGACTAGAAGGGTATATATAAATCTGGGGGTAGGAAGGGGATAAAGATTTAGTGGCTTGTGTGAAAACATTAGAGTGGAATGAGTGAAGGCAAGTGGTTTTTTAATGATTGGGATCAAGGTAATATGAAGAGATTTAGGAAAACAGGTTAGACCTCGAGTCCTGGAGGTGGGAAATACAGTGACTGTACTCTTAAACAGGTGTGGCTGTTGCTGTTCAAAAGGCCATCTGAACTGTGATATCAAGCTCCTGACAAAACAGTTGAATGATGGCAGGGAATGTTTGTTACTTTTCTATTGGTCACTCTCCCATGGTGAGAGGGGGGATGGCCAGTGTTATCAAAATAATTAGGTATTATTATTATTATAATCAAAAAGAAGCGCTAAGCCACAAGGACTATACAGCAAAATAATTAGGTAGCTTTGTACACTTGAGGATAATGTACAAGACCTGTATAATATTGAGAGGGAAATAAAACTCTTTTATATACAATACACATGTAATAACAAACTTGAGATTCACATGTAGTTAGAAATAGGTTTTATAATATTTTTATATATATAGATATATATATATATATAATGTATATATATTAAAATATGTACTTCCTAAGCCGAGTTTAGTTTTTTGTGAAAATAATTACATGATGCTCTGCGCTTAGGAACACACTTCACGTATGAACAGATGAACATAAAATGAATTGCCTAAAAATCACTTAATGGGTAATGAAATTAAGATTATTATGCCAATAGCACTCGCTGATATCTTACAAAAAAAAAAAGTTTTTAGTACTGTAATAGTATCACATTACAAAGCTATAAATAAATTACAAATAATTACTTAGCAATTAAAGTACTGATACTTTAATGTGGCACTTCCTACTTCACAAATATTGTATGCCTAATGCTTTTATAGTCTTTATCACAGAAAGCTCTCCTCCCCCAATAGCCTAAAAGATGCCATTTGACTTCGCATGTCAAATTTCATCAGTAACCAATTGGTTATATGCTTCAAATATGACAATGTCTAAATGTCACATGAACTGTGCACACTACCGAGTGCTACAGTATTAATTTTTGTTATAATCTTGGTGGCTATATAAAATTTTTTCCCAAGAAAACTTGGTAAGTGATGACCCTTGCTGAATCAATTGCCAATCAATTCAATATAATTTTAAAAGTAGAAAAAATGATAATTATACAAAAATGTGTAGTAACAGGCAAATAGTTGCAGCATAAAAATACCCAGTACAGTTTTCAAAAATTGGGTGTAACAGGCACATGTCTGGGGCAACAATTTGTCAAGAGGAATTTGCTTTGCTATTTGGTAAAACTAAACTATTTAAAAATATCTACATAAACCCAGTAAGTATAATTTATCTAACATATTAAACTATGTTTAAAAAATTACACTAACTGGATTTTTTTCTTTTTGAGATCTGGGGTGAGCATTTGGAAAGATGGTTTAAAAATGAAAAAAAAAAAAAAAAAAAAAATTTAAATTCTTTAAAAATATAAAAAATAAAATACCCTAGACATGCACTGCTCAATGAAATATTGTTAATTCTCATTCTGAGAATCAATTCAATATAATACTGGAATGTCCTCAACTTTGGTAAAATTACAATATACAGTATTCAACAATATATATCGATATCTAACTTGAAAGGATACTATCAGATACTAATCGTGTGAGATACCAACTCGTATAAAATAACCACTGTCCACAGGTAAGATCACAGATCACAGGGGGTTGGGGGGGATTCATTTAAAAATTATTAAAAATTCACTCAATCCACTAAATTCTCTCTCTCTCAGCTGTAAGAGTGTCCATTTGGGTAATTAATCAGCTGAGCTCTAGAACCTCTATTGGAAACCATTCCTGCTTCAGGGTCAGAAAGCTGTACAGTGCTGAGAGGTCCAAGTCTCTGAGGCGAGACACTTGACCCAATCGAAGATCGCATTGGTGATGTGGGTGTGTTGGGTAAGCTGGCTTGTGGGGTTGTACTCTGGGCCTGGCCAACATACTGTCCGTCAATGGCCATACGAACCTGAAACAAAAATTGGGTTTTGCACGTGGTATTTAAAATTAAATAAAAGGATGGGTAAAAAGAATAATGTAGAGAGGTTTAAATTATAAATTTACATGTAAAGAAGAATACAGATCACAATGTGGCTGTAACAAATCATTTATGAAAAAAAGTTTAGGCAACATTTCGATCTATCCTAGACCACTTCAAGTCGCATTTGAGCAAGAAAGAGGAGAAAAAATCAAGAGGTAAGAGGAGGATAGTAGTAGTGATGATGATAATCATAGCATAAGTAGTAGTAGTATTAGAGATTGTAGTAGTAAAAGAATTAGCAATAGTAATAATGGTAAACAAAAGAACAGAGGAGCAGTACTGGCCCAAGTTAGGCAGGACTCGTGATAAAGCAATGATGGTAAACTACATCTCAAAGCAAAGATCAAATCTGGTCCTATTAAAACTACTCTTCACTAATGCCTGTGTTGAATCAGCCCTAATATGAGGTACTATCAAAACATTCCCGGACTGCCACAAGAAAATACATAGGCTTACCTAATTACATAGTTGAAGTTCTCTCCATCTAATTTTTTTTTTTTTTTTTCCAACAAGTTCGGCCGTCTCCCACCGAGGCAGGGTGACCCAAAAAGAAAATACTTTCCTCATTCAACACTTTCACCACACTCACACATTATCACTGTTTTTGCAGAGGTGCTCAGAAAACAACAGTTTAGAAGCATATACGTATAAAGATACACAACATATCCCTCCAAACTGCCAATATCCCAAACCCCTCCTTTAAAGTGCAGGCATTGTACTTCCCATTTCCAGGACTCAAATCCGACTATATGAAAATAACCGGTTTCCCTGAATCCCTTCACTAAATATTACCCTGCTCACTCCAACAGATCGTCAGGTCCCAAGTATCATTCGTCTCCATTCACTCCTATCTAACACGCTCATGCACGCTTGCTGGAAGTCCAAGCCCCTCGCCCACAAAACCTCCTTTACCCCCTTTCCAACCCTTACCCCTCCTTCCTTCCCCTATAGATTTATATGCTTTCCATGTCATTCTACTTTGATCCATTCTCTCTAAATGACCAAACCACCTCAACAACCCCTCTTCTGCCCTCTGACTAATGCTTTTATTAACTCCACACCTTCTCCTAATTTCCACACTCCGAATTTTCTGCATAATATTTACACCACACATTGCCCTTAGACAGGACATCTCCACTGCCTCCAACCGTCTCCTCGCTGCTGCATTTACCACCCAAGCTTCACATCCATATAAGAGTGTTGGTACTACTATACTTTCATACATTCCCTTGTTTGCCTCCATAGATAACGTTTTTTGACTCCACATATACCTCAACGCACCACTCACCTTTTTTCCCTCATCAATTCTATGATTAACCTCATCCTTCATAAATTCATCCATCCAATTATAATCAAATAATAAAGTGCTAAACGACAAGGGTCATATAGTCTCCTTGGGAGACTATACTAATCCCAGCACCTCAGCCACATTTCGAAACATTTCTTCCTTAATGGTATCAAATGCAGCCTGCAATTCTGTTTGAATCTCCACCACATCATAAAAACTCTGCCCAAGTGTCATTTTTATTTTGAGGAAGAGAAAAGTCACATGTGGAATAGACCTGGGGAACAGGGTGGGTGGTGGACGACCGCCATGTTTTTTTTTGTTTTTTTTTTTTTGCCACTAATTTCACAGCCACTTGCCTCACGTTAAAATTTTTGGTTAAACTGCTTTGACACGAGCATGAAACAACTTCATACACACTGTCCTTTCTTCTTAATATTCTGTTCTGTTCACAGAAAATCACAACAAAGGACTGACAAAAAATTAAAAATCTAGCCTCAACAAAATGTCCAACCTCACCGAGACTTGTCATGCCACTTCACAAAGAAGTGTACTGCGTATTATGATCTACGCCACCGCCACCATATTTCACACAGGAAGCGCATGAAAATTTGAGTCTGAGAACGTTTTGATAGCACCTCATACACATTCCGAACATGAAGCTTAGTCCCTGTTTTGTTTGTAGGTGCCTGCCTTTCTCAGTACATTGCTAAATGCTCTAATCTTCATAACACCTGTGACTTGATATGACCTTTACCTCCTCAACTTCTCTTGACCTGTCTTTTGTATTTCTTTTACCTTTCCTCTCTTCTGTCTCCTTTCCGTTTTTTTTTTTTCCAGCATGGGCCAGTAAACCTGCTGCAGTACTCCTTTGCTCTTTCTGAACAGGTGTTTTTTTTTTTTCCACTGCTTAGAGATGTAATTTACCCTCATTAGTTTACCACTACTCCTGCTTAGTGTGAGCCAGAAGACCTACTGCAGTGCTCCTCTCATCTACTGTCCTGCCATTATTAATAAATCTTTTACTTCTACAACTATTACTATTGTTACCACTACTAGTAAGTCACAATCTTCTGGTCTTTTTTTTCTTGCTCAACTGTGACTCGACAATGGTCCCCAGCAGACCAAAGCAGCTTAATTCTGAGCACTGCAAGAAAATCTTCAGGAAGAAATTGGTACTTGTATGATTAATACAAAATTCATTAATGTGCAAGCAACTGGAAACTTTTATAACTACAGCAGCTTTAAAAATTCGTGTAGATAAAATAAAATGCCCAAAGCCACATGGAATAATGAAGACCAATCCTGTAGTAACATGGTCATTAGACAAAAAAAAAAAAAAAAAAAAAAAAAAAATTGATTAGATGCAGCATGGAAATTCATTGAAAGTATGGAAGTTTCAAGCAGTTGCATAATATACAGACCTCCTTTAAAGCTAAAACTCCTATGAGTCGTCCAATTGCAGTGACATATGCATGGTTGATACCCAACATAGAAAACATGGAGTGGACACGTAAGAGGGATGTTCTTTCAACCAACTGGAATGGTGCAGGGTCAATGTGACATTTGCTGAAGTCCACCTGAAGGAGAGAATATTACATTATTTTTTGTCTGAGCACAGAATAGTACTACATTACTTACTTTAGATTACACATACAATTAAGAAAGTTTTAAGAAGTAATTTCAGTTGTGCATAAAAGAAATAACACATGTTGCTGAATTAATTAATCCTCAGTTTTCAAAAATATGTATTTAGGCATTTCATACACCAATTTTAATTTTTTTTTATTAATGCATCGGCCATTTCCCACTGAGGCAGGACCCCCCCCCCCCCCAAAAAAAAAAAAAAAAAAAAAAAAAATTACCATGTTTAAGTTATGATTACTATTGCAAAACCAATACAAATTTTTGTCCACTAAATTGTAGCAAGTGCTTTCTCTTTTCCATGTGAACAGTGCCTACTCACTCTTTTAAAACTGACATGAAAGTAGTTGAAACATTGAGTCTATAAAGGTCCTTAAGACAAAATCAAATTATTTTTGCTTAAAATTCATCTTTTTCCCTGTTAAACATCTTTGTGAAGCTAATTCAAGAAAGATTGTAAAAATAAAATTCATTTAATATCAAGGATACTTCTAAGCTTTATATATTAACTTAATACTTACACATGACTCGCGACATTGTAATACGACTTGCTTACAGTTGTTGGACTTCCAGTAAATTTTTACATTACTACCAAAAAGAGATCATATTTAAGTGCCTGATAACACTTCCATAATTACACACTTTAGCAACTAGTTCCTTTTTAAAAGAATTATTCTGATAGAAATAAACTTTCCATTATACAAATTTGAATCATATATCCACTTGCCTCCTTAGCTAGTTCCATCATCTCCCATATAGATCTCTCCTCGTCTGACAAATCCAGCTGAGGCTTTTTCTGGAAATGAGAGAAAACAAGCACTTATTCTTAATCTTTAACATATGAATATAAATATTTGTAAAGCATAACCAATCTCAAAAATTAACTAAAATTTGTCCAATAATAAGAACAAAATAGATGTAATTCTCTCACACATGCTTCTATGAGTACCTACTTCAATCATATTTTGTTACTGAATATTTAAATTTTGGTTTATTATATGGTAGACTCAGGGTCATGTTGGGGATATTAAGACCTTGTCAGGTCATCCTTGCCAGGGATGTCCCTATCCTTGCAGTCACTTAATTACTGGACAGACCCAGTAGTGCCTATCCCCAATATCCATGTGATTTTACAACATTATCCATAGTACCAATGTTGTCTTAAATAACCTGAACCACTTCTATCTAATTTGAATGAAATTTGGCCATTCAAAATTACTTAAAGCCTTCAAGCTGCTTAATACTGTCAGAAAACCTAATCTGTTGCTCTTCTCTTAGCGAGTCCAATGTAAGTACGTGAAACCAATTTTCTATTACCTGGAGAGAGTTCCGGGGGTCAACGCCCCCGTGGCCCGGTCTGTGACCAGGCCTCCTGGTGGATCAGAGCCTGATCAACCAGGCTGTTGCTGCTGGCTGCACGCAAACCAACGTACGAGCCACAGCACGGCTGATCAGGAACTGACTTTAGGTGCTTGTCCAGTGCCAGCTTGAAGACTGCCAGGGGTCTGTTGGTAATCCCCCTTATGTGTGCTGGGAGACAGTTGAACAGTCTCGGGCCCCTGACACTTATTGTATGGTCTCTTAACGTGCTAGCGACACCCCTGCTTTTCATTGGGGGGATGGTGCATCGCCTGCCAAGTCTTTTGCTTTCGTAGTGAGTGATTTTCGTGTGCAAGTTCGGTACTAGTCCCTCTAGGATTTTCAAGGTGTATATAATCATGTATCTCTCCCTCCTGCGTTCCAGGGAATACAGGTTTAGGAACCTCGAGCGCTCCCAGTAATTGAAGTGTTTTATCTCCGTTATGCGCGCCGTGAAAGTTCTCTGTACATTTTCTAGGTCGGCAATTTCACCTGCCTTGAAAGGTGCTGTTAGTGTGCAGCAATACTCCAGCCTAGATAGAACAAGTGACCTGAAGTGTGTCATCATGGGCTTGGCCTCCCTAGTTTTGAAGGTTCTCATTATCCATCCTGTCATTTTTCTAGCAGATGCAATTGATACAATGTTATGGTCCTTGAAGGTGAGATCCTCCGACATGATCACTCCCAGGTCTTTGACGTTGGTGTTTCGCTCTATTTTGTGGCCAGAATTTGTTTGTACTCTGATGAAGATTTAATTTCCTCATGTTTACCATATCTGAGTAATTGAAATTTCTCATCGTTGAACTTCATATTGTTTTCTGCAGCCCACTGAAAGATTTGGTTGATGTCCGCCTGGAGCCTTGCAGTGTCTGCAATGGAAGACACTGTCATGCAGATTCGGGTGTCATCTGCAAAGGAAGACACGGTGCTGTGGCTGACATCCTTGTCTATGTCGGATATGAGGATGAGGAACAAGATGGGAGCGAGTACTGTGCCTTGTGGAACAGAGGTTTTCACCGTAGCTGCCTCGGACTTTACTCTGTTGACGACTACTCTCTGTGTTCTCTTAGTGAGGAAATTATAGATCCATCGACCGACTTTTCCTGTTATTCCTTTAGCACGCATTTTGTGCGCTATTACGCCATGGTCACACTTGTCGAAGGCTTTTTGCAAAGTCTGTATATATTACATATACTGATCTAGCACATAAAATTAAGACCAATCTCAGAATATTTATAAAATATACTGTATGGATTTTCACAGCATTATATGACCCTTACACATTTAGCAATTTATTATATTATCCATAGATTTTTGAAACCCAATACAGTATATTATAATAAACTCTTATACAAAATGGCAGTTATTGTCCTAAAAACTACAGAAAAAAGAATTCTGTAATAGTGCTTACGATACCCTTACTTTTCATCAAGTAATCAAGTAGCAATAATGTTGAAGGATAAGCTATGGCAGGAAAAGAGGGACTATAAATGTATTAATTCAAGGATTATGTGGAGTAAAATAAAGATTGGATGTGAAAAGTGGGTTATAATAAGCGTGTATGCACCTGGAGAAGAGAGAAGTGTAGAGGAGAGAGATTTTTGGGAAATGTTGAGTGAATGCGTGGGGAGTTTTGAATCAAGTGTGAGAGTAATGGTGGTTGGGGATTTCAATGCTAAAGTGGGTAAAAATGTTATGGAGGGAGTAGTAGGTAAATTTGGGGTGCCAGGGGTAAATGTAAATGGGGAGCCTTTAATTGAGCTATGTGTAGAAAGAAATTTGGTAATAAGTAATACATATTTTATGAAAAAGAGGATAAATAAATATACAAGGTATGATGTAGCACGTAATGAAAGTAGTTTATTAGATTATGTATTGGTGGATAAAAGGTTGATGGGTAGGCTCCAGGATGTACATGTTTATAGAGGGGCAACTGATATATCAGATCATTATTTAGTTGTAGCTACAGTTAGAGTAAGAGGTAGATGGGAAAAGAGGAAGGTGGCAACAACAAGTAAGAGGGAGGTGAAAGTGTATAAACTAAGGGAGGAGGAAGTTCGGGTGAGATATAAGCGACTATTGGCAGAAAGGTAGGATAGTGCAAAGATGAGTAATGGGGGGGTTGAAGAGGGTTGGAATAGTTTTAAAAATGCAGTATTAGAATGTGGGGCAGAAGTTTGTGGTTATAGGAGGGTGGGTGCAGGAGGAAAGAGGAGTGATTGGTGGAATGATGATGTTAAGGGTGTGATAAGAGAAAAAGGAAGCTTATGAGAGGTTTTTACAAAGCAGAAGTGTTATAAGAAGAGCAGAGTATATGGAAGAGTAAAAGAAAGGTAAGAGAGTGGTGAGAGAGTGCAAAAGGAGAGCAGATGATAGAGTGGGAGAGGCACTGTCAAGAAATTTTAATGAAAATAAGAAGAAATTTTGGAGTGAGTTAAACAAGTTAAGAAAGCAAAGGGAAAGTATGGATTTGTCAGTTAAAAACAGAGTAGGGGAGTTAGTAGATGGGGAGATGGAGGTATTAGGTACATGGCGAGAATATTTTGAGGAACTTTTAAATGTTGAGGAAGAAAGGGAGGCGGTAATTTCGTGCACTGGCCAGGGAGGTATACCATCTTTTAGGAGTGAAGAAGAGCAGAATGTAAGTGTGGTGGAGGTACGTGAGGCATTACGTAGAATGAAAGGGGGTAAAGCAGCTGGAACTGATGGGATCATGACAAATGTTAAAAGCAGAGGTGGATATAGTGTTGGAGTGGTTGGTACTTTTGTTTAATAAATGTATGAAAGAGGGGAAGGTACCTAGGGATTGGCGGAGAGCATGTATAGTCCCTTTATATAAAGGGAAAGGGGACAAAAGATTGTAAAAATTATAGAGGAATAAGTTTACTGAGTATACCAGGAAAAGTATACGGTAGGGTTATAATTGAAAGAATTAGAGGTAAGACAGAATGTAGGATTGCAGATGAGCAGAGAGGCTTCAGAGTGGGTAGGGGATGTGTAGATCAAGTGTTTACATTTAAGCATATATGTGAACAGTATTTAGATAAAGGTAGGGAAGTTTTTATTGCATTTATGGATTTAGAAAAGGCATATGATAGAGTGGATAGAGGAGCAATGTGGCAGATGATTGCAAGTATATGGAATAGGTGGTAAGTTACTAAATGCTGTAAAGAGCTTTTATGAGATATGAGGCTCAGGTTAGGGTGTGTAGAAGAGAGGGAGACTATTTCCCAGTAAAAGTAGGACTTAGACAGGGATGTGTAATGTCACCATGGTTGTTTAATATATTTATAGATGGGTTTGTAAAAGAAGTAATGCTAGGGTGTTCGGGAGAGGGGTGGGATTTAAATTATGGGGAATCAAATTCAAAATGGGAATTGACAAGTTACTTTTTGCTGATGATACTGTGCTTATGGGAGATTCTAAAGAAAAATTGCAAAGGTTAGTGGATGAGTTTGAGAATGTGTGTAAAGGTAGAAAGTTGAAAGTGAACATAGAAAAGAGTAAGGTGATGAGGGTAGTCAAATGATTTAGATAAAGAAAAATTGGATATCAAATTGGGGAGGAGGAGTATGGAAGAAGTGAATGTTTTCAGATACTTGGGAGTTGACGTGTCGGCGGATGGATTTATGAAGGATGAGGTTAATCATAGAATTGATGAGGGAAAAAAGGTGAGTGGTGCGTTGAGGTACATGTGGAGTCAAAAAACGTTATCTATGGAGGCAAAGAAGGGAATGTATGAAAGTATAGTAGTACCAACACTCTTATATGGTGTGAAGCTTGGGTGTAAATGCAGCAGCGAGGAGACGGTTGGAGGCAGTGGAGATGTCCTGTTCTAAGGGCAATGTGTGGTGTAAATATTATGCAGAAAATTCGGAGTGTGGAAATTAGGAGAAGGTGTGGAGTTAATAAAAGTATTAGTCAGAGGGCAGAAGAGGGGTTGTTGAGGTGGTTTGGTCATTTAGAGAGAATGGATCAAAGTAGAATGACATGGAAAGCATATAAATCTATAGGGGAAGAAGGAGGAGTAGGGGTTGTCCTCGAAAGGGTTGGAAAGAGGGGGTAAAGGAGGTTTTGTGGGCGAGGGGCTTGGACTTCCAGCAAGCGTGCCGAGGTGTTAGATAGGAGTGAATGGAGATGAATGATACTTGGGACCTGACGATCTGTTGGAGTATGAGCAGGGTAATATTTAGTGAAGGGATTCAGGGAAACCAGTTATTTTCATATAGTCGACTTGAGTCCTGGAAATGGGAAGTACAATGCCTGCACTTTAAAGGAGGGGTTTGGGATATTGGCAGTTTGGAGGGATATGTTGTGTATCTTATACATGTATATGCTTCTAAACCGTTGTATTCTGAGCACCTCTAGCAAAAAAGCAGTGATAATGTGTGAGTGTGGTGAAAGTGTTGAATAATGATGAAAGTATTTTCTTTTTGGGGATTTTCTTTCTTTTTTTGGGTCACCCTGCCTCAGGGGGGAGCAGCCGACTTGTTGAAAAAAAAAAAAAAAATATAAAAATATAAAAATATATATATATATATATAATAAATCATCAAATGGAATATATGTAATTATTAGTAATGCGTTTGTACGTGTATGTTATCTAAATATAATACTTACAATATGCTTATGAATGGTCAGAACTGGACTGACTGACTTTAGTGAAAAAAGCTGAAGGGGTTGGGAGAGTTTTTAATGGAGAGAATAAATGAATTATCATTTATCAAATAAGTTAACTAAAGAATAATATTAATTTGAAAGATAAGTTAAAAATGCAGAAAAGAGGGATAACAATATTACTAAATTAAGGTTAGGGAGTAAAAAATTGATTCCCATGTGAAAATGTGAGTAATAGTAATGTTAGCCACCAACGATACAGACAACGACTTACAGAAAATACATTCTAAATGGTGATTGAGGTGATATGCGTGGGGTATGTTAGACATCAATTGAACACATAATACATGATTACAGCAGGATTTCCAACAGCATAAACGTTAAAAAGGTTTATGAGAGGGTACGTAGTTGTAAATGTTGGAGATGCCAGGGTAAATGTAAATGGGTGCACACGCTTTTAATTGAGCTAAAACTAGTAAAAAAATTCTCTTAATAAGTATGGCCATATTTACTAAAACATGCATTTATAAATCAAATAACCAATCTACTGATGTGAGCTCTAATCGAAGTGATTATTACAATTATGTATATTGGATAAAAGTTATGAGTAGGCCTCAAATGTACAACTTTCATAGCAGGGCAAAATGATATATGGATCTTAATTTGGTACTACTTAAGTAAGACCGAAGATGGGTAAAAGAGGAAGGTGGCAATAACAAGTAAGAGGGAGGTGAAAGTGTTAAACTAAGGGAGGAGGAAGTTCGGGAGAGATATAGCAACTATTGCAGAAAGGTGGGCTAGTGCAAAGATGAGATAGTGGGGTGGGGGGGGGTGGGTTTGGAATAAGTTTTTAAAAATGCAGTATTAGAATGTGGGACAGAAGTTTGTGGTTATAGGAGGGTGGGGGCAGGAGGAAAGAGGAGTGATTGGTGGGAATGATGAGTTAAGGGTGTGATAAGAGAAAAAGGAAGCTTATGAGAGGTTTTTACAAAACAGAAGTGTTATAAGAAGAGCAGAGTATATGGAGAGTAAAAGAAAGGTGAAGAGAGTGGTGAGAGAGTGCAAAAGGAGAGCAGATGATAGAGTGGGAGAGGCACTGTCAAGAAATTTTAATGAATCGGTGGAGCAGCCGACTTGTTGAAAAAAAAAATAAATATATATATATATTATATATATATATATATATATATAATATACAGTGGACCCCCGCATAACGATCACCTCCAAATGCGACCAATAATGTAAGTGTATTTATGTAAGTGCGTTTGTACGTGTATGTTTTGGGGTCTGAAATGGACTAATCTACTTCACAATATTCCTTATGGGAAAAATTCGGTCAGTACTGGCACCTGAACATACTTCTGGAGTGAAAAAATATCGTTAACCGGGGTCCAATGTATGTATGTATGTATGTATATAATATATATATATATATATATATATATATATATATATAATATATTATATATTATATATATATATATATAATATATATATATATATATATATATAATATATAATATATATTATTACATACATACATACATACATTGGACCCCCGGTTAACGATATTTTTTCACTCCAGAAGTATGTTCAGGTGCCAGTACTGACCAAATTTGTTCCCATAAGGAATATTGTGAAGTAGATTAGTCCATTTCAGACCCCCAAACATACACGTACAAACGCACTTACATAAATACACTTACATAATTGGTCGCATTCGGAGGTGATCGTTATGCGGGGGTCCACTGTATACACATACACATACACACACATACATATACATACATACACACATACATACACACACATATACATACACACACACAGCATATCTCACATTATATTAGGTTGCTTTAGTGCACAGATTTGGTACCTAGTTTTCTACTGTTCCACATATTGATTGTCAGATGCCTCTTTTCTACTTTTAACAGTACATGTAAACTGAATGAATAGTCTGTCTGTCCATCACAAGTTCATGTGGTTTACATATGAGCCTGCTAGATACATAAGCCCTAAAACTCAAATACTCCTCCTTCACTTCCCCTTCAACCATTTTCGGTATGGCCCTTACCTTCCTCCTCAAATTTATACACCTCTGCCATTCTATCCCTCTCCATTCTCTAAATGCCCAAATAACCGCAACACTCCCTCCCACGTAATCGTCGAGCTTCTACACTCCTAATTGTGCATAATATACACATTATATATTGATATAAAATATGACCATCTTCAATGCTACAACATTCAATGCACACGCCTCAAACTGAGACTGGTCAGCTAAATGGTTTCTTGAATTCAACCCCAGCAATTGCAAGGTTATGAAGATTTGGGAAGAGGCCAAAAGACTAGACACGGAGAATAGACTCTGGGGACAGAGGGTCACTTCAACTGAATAATCTCTGCAGCCAATGCTTGTCTGACAAATCTAAGAGACAGCAGCCTTTGGGAATCCAACAGACACATTCTATGCCCTATATATAACTTATATCAGGCCCATCTTGGCCCAGACATGCACTGGCATGGAACCTACACCTGAGGAAGCATTTGAAGAGAGCACAGAGGTAAGACAATAAGACTAGTTCCAAAACTAAGGGGGTAAGAGCTATGAGCAGAAACTACTGGAACTGAATCTAACCACACTGGAGGACTGAAGAACCAGGAAAGACATTACATTATAACATACAAAATATTCAGAGGAATTGATATGTTAGACAAGGACAGGCTATCTGTGAGGCATAGTTGGAAGTTACACATGTGTGTCACAGGGATGTTAGGAAGTATTTCTCTAGTTTCAGAGTGCTTGGGAAGGTGAATGATCTCAAATGGTGGAGGCTGGCTCCATACATAGTTTTGAGAGAACATGAGGCTAGGAGTGAATCTGGCAAGCAATATATTTAGAGGTGTAGCAGGGAGCTAGGACTTGACCCCTGCAACCACATACAGATTTAGAAAAGGCATGACAGGGTGGATAGGGCAGTAATGTTGCAAGTGTATGGAGTAAGTGTAGGTTACTGAAAGTAGTTGAGAGTTTTTATGAGTATAGAGAGCCTTAGGATTGTAGGAAAGAGGGAGATTATTTTCCAGTAAAAAGTAGGCCTTAGATAGGGATGTGTGATGTCATGTCACTATGGTTGTTTCATATATTTACAGAGGAGGTTGTAAGAGAAATGAATGCTGGGGTGTTGGGAGAGTGTGAAATTGGAAGATAAAGAATCTAATATCAAGTGGGAGTTGTCACAGTTGCTTTTTGCCAGTGACACTGCTTTTGGAAGATTCTGAAGGAAAGTTACACTGCTGCACAGTCAGCAGTACATGACCTACCAGTTTCATACAGAGGTGTTCCATTTATGGACTATTTTGCTGCAATAGCTACCCACCTTCACACCCGTTGGCAACAACGTTGGTCTACTCTGCTCGGTAACAAACTTCAGTCTATTAAACTGAGTATAGGTTACTGACTGTCTTCTTGTCACCAGTGTCGAGGTTGGGAGACTACTCTCTCCCGTCTTCGCATTGACCATACTCGTCTTGCTCATGGATATCTCATGGAGGCACGCCCTGCTCCTCTCTGTGAGAATTGTCAGGTTCCATTATTGGTCAGCCACATTCTGTTAGACTGCCCACTTTATCTACGAGCATGCAGAATTTACCTCCAACATCATCTTCGCTCTGCTGCTCTCTCTTTACCTTCCCTTCTCGCTAATGGACCCACCTTTCATCTGCGACTCTCTCATTGACTTGTTAACAACAACTGACTTGCTTCACAAACTCTGATGATATCTTCAGCCCTTTCTACCTCAATCTCTTGCTACCCTCTACCCCCACATTATCCCTTGCCCCGCTGTTTTTTGTAACCTACTGATCGTCTCTTCCCCCTTCTGCCGCCCAATACCCTCGCTTCCTTCCCTACCCTGCAACGCTGTATAGCCCTTGTGGTTTAGTGCTTCTTTTTGATTATAATAATATAATAATAATCTGAAGGAAAGTTGCAAACAGGAACTAAAAATGAACATAGGAAAGACCAAGGTGATGAGGATAACTAAAAAATATAGGTAATGAAAGACTGACATCCAATTGGAGGGAGGGAGTATGGAGGAAGTGAACGTGTTCAAACATTTGGGAGCGAGACTTGTCAGCAGACAGGTCTACGAAAGACAAGAACAACTATAGAATTGACAAGGGAAAAAAGAAAGGTAAGTGGTGCATTAAGACATCTGTGGAGACAATGAACATTGCCATAAAAATTTATGCACAATAGATGATTTAGTTTTTAAACTTAATTAACCTACAGTCTCAGCATCAAGATTTATAATTATTAAAACTTACAGCATTCTGATCCTTCTTCTTTGACTTGAACAAGGAAAGCTGAGAAAGTTTCAATTCCATGGAGCTTGCAGTTTCCATCCTCATTCGTCTTACTTTCTCAAAGGCAGAGCGAAGTCTGTGAATATTACGTAAGGTTGAATACCCTTAGTATTGCAAGAACCCACACAAATTATAGTACATTAATGGTTATAACTAGAAGATAGATTACTATCTACATACAGAAGCATTTTTAGGTATAATGCATGAACTAGCTAAATCTAATATTAAATGTTTAGAATGCAATATTTTTGTACTCTGTTAACACAACTAACTATACTATCTATAATAAAATTAAGTACATTACAATCAAAACTACAACATTTTTGTTAAATCTTACCTAATATCACAGCTTGTTCGTCTATTTATGTCAGTTGTATCTCCACTTAGCATTAAGGGAACAAGTATAATTTTCATTCACATTATATTGGTTGGAAAAACCATAACTATAATGCCTATTAATAGAATACAGAAATTCATATCAATAAGTACAGTATCTCTGTTAAACCTTACCTAATATCAGAGCTCGTTTGCCTACTTATTTCTGATGTGTCTCCACTAAGTTAGCATTAAGGAAACAAGAGCACATTAGATAAATGTTTCTGAACTTGTAATATTAAGTCAGTGGGGACAGATTTCTTGGTATTAACTGTCATGAGTGCTATTTTTATTCTTTAGACTGATTTGCATATAAAAACCTGTACTTGCCTTGTGTCTCCAACAGTTATTGTTTGGTAATGTGTTTCAGATGCAGAAGTGTCTGGAGATGATGTCATGCCTAAACTGAATGAGTTGCGACGTTTCAAGATCCCCTTCTTGGGTGACAGTACATCTGAAGTCTTCTTTGAATCCCTGATATCCTGGGGTGAAAGATACTATTAAGAAAACTTGGACATAATACAACATTTAAATCTTTATGAGAACTTAATTGTACAGTACCGATTTACCTTCCTGCATTTATGAATCCTCGTTGTACTAGTATACTTATGTGTGTATAATCTATAAGTTTGTAAGGGGGAGAGCTCTATTTGTTGGGCCCACCCAACTAATGTGATTTAACACTAATCTTAGTTAAGTCCTAATACCTGTGTTATCTTGTACTTTAATCTTTTCAGTGCCATGACCCCCGTAATTAAGTCCCACTAGCGTTACCATTTTAAAAAACCTAAAATAGTATAAAAAAATTTCTTAAGCTAATTAAACTGAAAATGCAAAATTTGATGCAAGATTTCTGTAATTACACAGACAAGAAGTCAGAAGCTATTTTAAGTTAAATTAAGTGCTTAAACCAACCTAATTCCTGACTATTTTGCTACATGCTTTACAGTCTATCAACTGACTACAATATAAAGAGCCCAGAATTTGACAATTAGATCAATTTTACACCTACTGCCCCTGCTTACCCAACAGTAAGATAGTACCTGGGTGTTACAGTAGAAGATTGATGTAGGTCACATCCTGGGGGACAAAGTTAACTTAAGTTGCTCAAAATGCTCTGCATAACCAGGGACTTTCTATATAGTATGTCAAGTGATGTCAACTAAGTCTGTAACAGTGGCATCATGTACTTGTAGAAATAGATTATTATTACAGCTTCTCAGTAACGTACTCATTTATCAATGACTCGGTCTTACGATGGGCTCTCTGACCAGTATGCATACCTAAATAATGTATATTTGAGCTGATTTCCTCTATTCTGTTTGTTACGATATACAGTGCACTACTGTATGAACATTTAAAAATATACTAAAAGTGTTATAAATGGTGCAAAGATGACAGTAAAACAACATCAAAGACGGTTTACACAAACCCACTACCGTTATAGTATGCTCCTTGCTTAGAAACAAATTCATTTACAAAAGTGGTCTTAGGAATGGAACTCTTGTCATTAAGTGAGCAGAGGCTGTATTATTTTAGAGGTGGATTTTGCTTATCTTCAACATAAACACTGTTTACGTGAGGGGTCTAGTATTCCCTTTAAGTTGAAGCTCTTCCTCTTCACAGTGGAGTTAGAAGACAAGTTAAGATCCTATCTTTTGTTATATATGTAAACCAATTTATGAACTAAATTTGCACTATAATTATGCAGTAATATCCATTTAGAAACAATTCTACACCTTTTCTGCATATTAGTGAATGTAATAAGTGTAAGCTTCTAATAATTTAACAATTAACAAATTAACGCTAGTATGTGTTAGACATCACACACTAATGGATTTTTCCTGTTCTTATGATGATGCTTTGTTCATGTAAAATATATTCTGCCATTATTCAGTTTGAAGTGTATTTCCAGTAGTTTTTGGGTAATAAACTTTTAAAATACTAATATATATTTCTGACTAATACAATTAGTACTACACCCAAAATCACAACTTTAATTGACATTCACTTACCTCTTGGCTTATTGATCTGAAAGCAGCAGTATCAAGAGAGTTTGATCTCTGTAAAGTGGCTCTTCTCTTCCCTGGAATCTTATCTGGGGAAGAGTCTTTCTTGGACCTTGATGAGCTACGTAATTTACCACTAGCATCTTTCTTCTTGGTGCTTTTCTCTTGGGCATCACTGCTGTCTTTACTGCCTCCATCTTCTCCAATTTTGCTACTGCCATTCTCAACCTTTCATATGCAACAAGGACAACACTGAATAGTATGTAAAAATAAGAGGAAATTTTAATAATTGTTAGAAAGTTAACATAACAATGGTATTTCTATTTTGGGTCCTTGGTCAGCAGTTACAGCTCCTCCAATTTCCAAACGAGTTATGTTCCTGGTTTTCCACCATACAAACGAGTTTGCATCAAAAAATATGTTAAGTAAAAGGATACAAGTGCAACTAATGTGACATTTTATTGGGGCAACGTTTTGCTCTCCAGGAGCTTTGTCAAGCCGTTGCAAACAATACATGGACAGAGGGTATATATAGGCTTAGAGGGAGGTGTAATACTAGTGGTAGTAGTAATATTAGTTGTAGCAGTAGTAATACAATATTATACTGTATTACTACTACCACCACTAGTATTACATCTCACAAGCCTATATATACCCTCTGTGTCCATGTATTGTTTGTAATTGCTTTATAAAGCTCCTGGAGAGTGAAATGTTGCCACAATAAAATGTCACATTAGTTGCACTTGTGTCCTTTTTCTTAACATGTTGTCAGTAATTCTACCTTTTTTTTTTTTTTTTTTTTTTAACAAACTGGCCGTATCCCACCAAGGCAGGGTGGCCCAAAAAGAAAAAAGAAAGTTTCTCTTTTTAAATTTAGTAATTTATACAGAAGGGGTTACTAGGCCCTTGCTCCCGGCATTTTAGTCGCCTCTTACAACACGCATGGCTTACGGAGGAAGAATTCTCTTCCACTTCCCCATGGAGATAAGAGGAAATAAACAAGAACAAGAGCTAGAAAGAAAATAGAAGAAAACCCAGAGGGGGGTGTATATATATATGCTTGTACATGTATGTGTAGTGTCACCTAAGTTTAAGTAGAAGTAGCAAGACGCACCTGACATCTTACATGTTTAAGAGACAGACAAAAGACACCAGCAATCCCACCATCATGTAAAACAATTACAGGATTCCGTTTTACACTCGCTTGGCAGGACAGTAGTACCTCCCTGGGCGGTTGCTGTCAACCAACCTACTACCTACAATTCTACCAATATTAATACATAAAAAAATAGTACAAGTAATGGTTTTGTTTCACATACATTAGTACTGCAACTCAGCATTGAAAGTTTTAAGATTTAAATCCCCTGTACTTTGTGATACATGAATTTCATTCTGTTAATTGCTAATACAGTGGACCCCCGCTTAACGATCACCTCCCAATGCGACCAATTATGTAAGTGTATTTATGTATGTGCGTTTATATGTGTATGTTTGGGGGTCTGAAATGGAGTAATCTACTTCACAATATTCCTTATGGGAACAAATTCGGTCTGTACTGGCACCTGAGCATACTTCTGGAATGAAAAAATATCGTTAACCTGGGGTCCACTGTACTATGAATCTAGTCTGAATCAAGGATGAACAATTATGTGGGATGTATTTTGTAAAAAAAAATAGCCCTATTGCACAAAATCAATTTCTCCTCTGATGAATAAAAAGGCACAATATCTTTGATGGTTGAGCACAACAGTTATCAAGCAGTAGCACTATCTTGCAGTTTTTAGAGCACAGCTCTGTTACAATGGTCCCTGCTCTAGCACAAAATAATTTGAACTTGCTGGTTGGTAGTTTTGGGTTATCCCACCCTTCTGGGTTCAGCTCAAGTAATTGGCTACATTTTGACATCCGTGACGGTCCCTAAGTTTTTACCTTTCCTATTATAGTCAGACTGTATATCTGCTGCATTAATACAGATCAATACAATAAGCCTCTCCCTTTTTGACTGCCACAGTGCGGTAAAAAAAAAAGTGATAAATATTTGATACCTCACCAGATTATGCCTGGCATATCAGAATTACAGATTTGTTCTGGGAGTTTAATCCTACTTTTCAATAAAAGAGGTAAATTTGACCCAAATATTTATTGATACCACCCTGACCATTTGCAAGACTGCTTATTATGACTTTTTCCACATCACTTCCTAAATCCCTGCAGTCATCAGGGTATATGTTCTCCCACATCAGCAAGAGGTACATTTTCCTTGAGGAGCTGAACAAACCACTTGTCTAGAATACTGTTTGTTCTTTGTGGGCAGGTCCCTTTTAACACCTGTGTCTCCTTCCAAAAATTACTTTCTGAATGAAATTTTATAATTGTCTATGTGGAGCAAAATCAATCGTAGTTGATCCTAATGGTGCAGCAATAACACTGGCACCACATGCTGAAGTATTGAGGGACAACATTTGTTGCTGCTCTTCTCACAGGATTTGTGTATCTTCCTTACCTGAGAAACTGCATCTGTACATTAAGTCTAGAAATGAGGTTAAAACTGCATCCCAAAAATAAAATCTCTTGAAGGGCACAAACAAAGCTTTGGTAAGCAGTAGGGTTTTGTGCTGGCACCATATTATGCATTAAAATAAATAGTGCCAGTGGAGTAACTAACACACCATCGTAATTAAATCCACCTTTACTTATTTTTTAACAATATCCAAACTTTTTAATTAAAAACCAATGTACATCCTATTTGACAAATTGATATTTTCAGGTCTTAAATTATTTCACTGGTAACAGATTGAACATAATAGGAGTACAGTAAACCCTAGATATAACCGAATAATAGGCAGGGATTGTCCAAGTGTCTGTTCAATCAGAATAATGTTAGAATATAGCAATAAAGTGCACAGAAGTGCTCTACAATCAATTTAATATAGTACTGTACACAAATTACAGGTATACTGCAATAAACACTGACAAAGGAATTAAAAGTACAATTACCCAGTGGATTTTGCCCATAAATTTAAAAATTAATTGTATTGGGGTCTGTTATATTGAAGGATTTACTATATAATACAGTATGGAGAACAGGACTCGCTGTCTTGTCACATAACCTAAGGCACCAGATGGTACTGACTAAATTTACACATGGAAAAAATTTATGGGATTGCTTTCAAATTTGCATAATGATTCTCTAAGAGACTGGGACATTGTTGATGGTTCAAAATGGCCCCAAAGAACAACTAGGATGAAAAATGTACATCAAGGGTACACTAAAAGTTTTTCAATACAGTAGGGCCCCACTTATATGGCAGGTTAGGTCCCAGGCTACCACCTTAAAGCAGAAATTGCCTTAAAGTGGAATGCCATTTTTTCCCACAAATGCATATAAATGCCAGACAAGCTTACACTAACTTATATTAAGTTAGTAATAGAACTAGACATCAAAAAACACAATAAAAAGTAAAATACACACACAGTACACCCATAACTTACCTAAAAATATTTGTAGGGCGAGAGGTGAGTTGTATTTATTTGTAGGAAGTCAGGTGTGGGAAGTATGATAGCCAGCCAGGGCAGCCCACCCACACGTAATATATGACATTTAAAGCACCCCAGAGTGATAAAATACTTATACAGTACATTCATTAATTCTTCTTTCAACACACCGGCCATTTCCCACCAAGGCAGGGTGGCCCAAAAGGAAAAACAAGTTTCTCCTTTTACATTTAGTAATATATACAGGAGAAGGGGTTACTAGCCCCTTGCTCCTGGCATTTTAGTCGCCTCTTACAACACGCATAGCTTACGGAGAAAGAAATCTGTTCCACTTCCCCATGGAGATACGAGGAAATAAACAAGAACAAGAACTAGAAAGAAAATAGAAGAAAACCCAGAGGGGTGTGTGTATACATATGCTTGTACATGTATGTGTAGTGTGACCTAAGTGCAAGTAGAAGTAGCAAGACATACCTGAAATCTTGCATGTTTATAAGACAGACAAAAGACACCAGCAATCCTACCATCATGTAAAACAATTACAGGCTTTCGTTTTACACTCACTTGGCAGGATGGTAGTGCCTCCCTGGGTGGTTGCTGTCTACCAACCTACAACATTCATTAATTACCTTAAAATATTTGTAGTCTTAATGTGTGTACTAGTACGTCAAGACACATTATCATATGCATACGTGTACGTTGGCCTCGATTGAAAGGTTAAATGTTATTGGTAGATTCTAGTAATAATTGTAAAAACTAAGAAAACCATTGTAAACTTTTATCTTTAGAAAGACTTAACTCACTTTTCTTACAGAGAACCTGGAAGGCTTGCGAGCCAAAGAAGATTTGGAGGAAAAGTCTTTCAGGCTGCGAGTTGCAGGTGAGCCAGGGGGTGTGATTGAGTCAGAGCCGTGCCTGTAATGAGTCAAATAATTATGAAACACTGAATATATGAGGAAAGCTACAGTACTGATATTTATAGTAAAATATACCATACATAATGAAATGTCCAACAATACAAATGTGTATATATACACTGTGTGTGCGCAACAATAAAACCACAAACTATATTTAGAATAGCAATAGCAAATACTGCTTCACACCCGGCATACAGCATTACTGTAATGAACATTACCCGTTCTGTGTACTGCATTAGTTCAATATTAAAATGGAAAATGTTGCTGTGGAGGAATATTTTTTCAACTTGTACAGTAGGACCCCTGTATCCACAGGGAAATCGTTCCAAGGACTTGCCACGGATAATAGCAAATCCTACATATGAGTCCTATACATACCTATTGTAGACCTTGATAAATTATGCACAATAAGTGGAGAATTATAACCTTTTCACTGATGGGAAGCACTTCATAGCTTCTTTTAGACTTTGAAGAACTAGCACTATCACTATTTTTGCACTTCAAGGCCATTATTAAGCAAAATCAAAGGTTATTTAAAGGCCACGGAAAACTGCAGATATGGGGGGGTCCTACTGTACATACAACAGCCAAACAATACATTTCACACACATACAAAATGCACAACTTGAAATAAGCTTTTAAGGATAAGAATCAGTTTAGCTGAAAAACAATAGCATTAACTAATGACCGAGCCATTCTAGAAAGGTTAGTAGAGGAATCACATCACAAATACTTTTTAGAACAGCACAGTATTTTAATTTAAACATGACAATGAAAAAAAAAAGGTTATGAAAATGCAATGCAATGATAACTACATAGAAAAGAACATGCAGGAAAAGCCATTTACACTTTAAAGAAGATAATCACTGCCAAAATTGTCAAAGGGCCCACCAAGAGCTGCCATGATTTTCTGTCATCAAAATGAAAGAATTTGATGCTGTCTTAAGTGTACCATGTTTCTCACATTACATCTTGCAAGTTACAAATTGTAATTGAAATCATACAATATAGAATTTTAACAGTGAGGCAGCAGTGCCCATCAAAAAAAACCACCAAGATAGAACCCGAGTCAGGGAATTCAATCCGAATTCAGTCCAATGAGAAAAATGAATTAAGTTTTGTAGTAAAGTACAACTACTGTATTTTTGATTACCTAATTTAGTTTGCAGGGGGTCAACTATACCCCTTAGGCTTGCTTCATAGCTTTCAACTGACCAATGCAAATTTGTTTTTCATATATAAATTCACCCTCTACAAAGCAGACCCTCACCTTACTGTCTAAGTCATTCCCTTCTTTTACTTTGTTTATGTTGAAGAGTTTTTAGAAGTCTTTAGCCATTTTTGGTCTGTACTTGTTACTCATGCCTGCAGTGGTTCCCAACATGTTGACTGAGAACCACTTGGAAGTCAGAGTTATTCCAAGGGGTGTGCAGACTGTTGTCAAGTTCATGATGCTTTTTCTGTCATTATTTGTTTCCTCAATTAACAGAGAGACTAAAATCAGTCTAAATACTGAGGTTAAGGAGACCTCATACCAATAAAGGTTAGGAGCCACTGCCCTAGGTTATGTTGTGATTGTCCTTTGCCAGTCAAGGTACGGGAGACTTGTGTATACTTTTGATGAGTTCTGAGAGTTTTTCGACTCCCAAAGCTCGGCCTCGGGCCAGGCTTGTCAGGTGCTTGCCTGGTCAACCTGTTGTTGCTGGCAGCCCAATGACCCACATATCCATCACAATCTGGTTGATCAGGCACGAATGTCTGTCATTTTTTCTTCAGTTCAATCTCCTCAACTTGGCACTGAACAAAGAATGGTCAATAACCAATGAATCATTTAAAAATGTTTGGGTAGTAGGTATGAATGGAGATGAGATTTTGGTGTACTGTACTTGAAAAATTGGTGCACTAACAGCATCTGAATGTTCGTTGATTTTAAAGGAAGAAAACTCAACAGCTTTGGTATTGGACCTCAACCTTGGAAATGATTCTCCACCATTTAGGGAAGCGCTGAAACCAGACATAAGAAGCATGCAGCAAAAATCACATTATGAGGACAAATTTCGATTCTACAATAAAAATTAATCAAGTCTTAAGCAACCTGACTAAATCTTATTCATGGTTCAAGATTAGTCATCATAAATCATCCAGCAGTAATTACTTAGAGCGTGTGGATGCAGGTGATCCAGGTGGGGAAGTGGAGGAATCATCGCTGTCACTGCAGAGGCAAAAATATAAAAAACAAAATAAATTTGTAATAAATTATTAAATCATATGAAACCAGTAATAGTCCTGTGTGTAAAGCTTTGATAAAATATACAAAGAAAAATTACAGAAACTAATAAGCCTTTGTTTTTATGTAAATGATTTACTACTACATACTTCTAGTGTTACTGGCAATAAAAAAAAAACAGCATTCAATAAGTTTAACCACGATTTATTCATGGCACTGTTTGATTAGAAGAAAAGAAAACCAAAGTGTATAAAATAAAATGCTAAAATTTTAGCAGGTAGCAAATAATACTAGTGTATATTACAGTATTTGTAGATATTATTAGTGAAAAAATTTAACTCAAGTAATAAGATCTCAAACAATATAATCAATATGTAAAATAAGGGTCAAAAAAAAGAGAAGAAATGTGATAAAACAGGCCAAGTAAATTTTGTATAAAGTACATGACATTTAAGAAAAAACACTTGCTTGGTGCCATACAATTAAAAAACTTGTCCAAAACAAAAAATATTAATTTTAAAAGGAGCGAGGTTGAGTGTGAGTAAGTTGGACGAGATTAAATGGTAAAAGCTAGAGAATTAATTAAAATATTAGAAAAATAAATATCAGTTAGGTTGGAAAATTCAATTAAAAATTACATGGATGCAAGGAGTAATGACAAACATTTTCTCCTTTAGTGTGTAAATGATGTGAGGACTACAGGAAATTCTTCTTACTTTATGAAGTGTACAACTAGTTTCTAGTTTCAAAGCTAGACCTAGTAGGTCATCCAATACTGCAAGGCATAAATTACTACAATATGAACTTGCTTGCTCCTGCTTACATAAAACTATTAAAACAAGTTAAGGCTAAAAGACAAATAACTTGACTGAAAGCTTTTTTGTACTATCAATTTAAGAAAATAATAATAGTGCTTCTCTCGGTAGCTTAATGGCGTACAGTATCATACTGTATATGAAAAAGTTTATTTGCTACGAGGAACAAAAACTGATATAAAATGAAAATCAGAATAGAGAAGGCAAGACTTTAAAAATATTTCTGTACAGGCAGGTCAGAGATATGAAAGTGGAGGTGCACTAAGGCAGACTAACTCAGTGATATGTGTACTGTGTAAAGCTTTAGCTTCTAAACAGCTATAGATAACTAATACTAAATGATATGTGGCCAACTCAAAATGGACTCTAATGAAACCACGAAAATAACTGAGAAAACGAGTAATGGAATATTTGTGTCGGTTACCTTAGAGAAAATTTTGAAGTTGAAAACTCAAAAGTGGGGGGAATAGGGGGGGATGGGGTAAACATTTCATACTGTAATATTAAATGGGTCATTATTAATTTTACTGCAGAGCATAATATTTTCTTTATTATATTTAAATTGTAACAACTACTGTATTCCAACATTGTCATTCTTATACATTTTATCAAAATATATCTGGCAACTGTAAATAAGTCTTGGCAAAAGAGGGTACGTAATATACTCTAGACACTTAAAAGTTTAGTAAAATCTTTCTTAGTCTCCTTACCAAACAATCCAGCAGGCAAAGGACTTGACATCTCAGGGCAATACAAACAAAATTACATCCTTCGTTTTTTGTCAGCAGTATCATACAACAGAGATTATAAATATTTTACAAATCTTTCATTTTAATTCTGTACAGCAGACATGTGCTACTATTTCACCAACCTTGAATGTGTTCCATGCCGACTTCTTGACGCTGACCGAGATCTGAAAGATTAATAACAAGAACACATCGATATTTAATTTAAAATTATTGTTAATTTATTAATAATCAATGTGCATGTCACCCTACCTCTGTGGGATACGGCCAGTTCATTGAAAAAAAAAAAAATGTATGAATATAAAACACTCACACTGATCATTATCTTATTTAACTCCTTTCATCTTCAAAATATACAAATAAATTAAAAAAGAAATATTATACATTATTCAAAACTGTAAGTATAAATCAGGACTCAAAAACCCTATGTATTTTTAAACAAAGAAACTGAATTAAAATTATCCATACCTAGAAGATGATCTGGAACGGGAGAGTGAGCGACTAAGTGATCTTGAGAAGCGATGAATGATGCTCTGTGTGGTTCCTGGCTCATCACTATTAACCTCATCTTCGTAGCGAATGCGACTTTCCTTTGGTCCTCCCGCAGCATCCTCCTCTTCCCACTTTAATCTTTAGAGAAAAAATTACTGAAAATCCCTCACTGTCATTTATACGAGACATTCCAAATTTAGTTACCACACCTTCAATGATAGTCACTCCAACTGACTCTTCAGGGAGGTTCCTTGATGCTGGTGAATGGTTCTTGATCCATAAGGTAAGACCTGCTCTTCCCTTCCTTGGACTGAATCTGAATATCTCCCATTCCCATTGGTGTTGCATGACCCCTTTGAGTTTAGTGCTCCCAATGAATGTAATAAAAATAATAATCACCTACTTTAAGAGATTCTGAAAATAAGATGCAAAGGCTGGCAGATGAATTTGGGAGGGTATGTAAAAGAAAGAAATTAAAAGTGAACATAAGAAAGAGCAAAGTAATAGGAGTAACAAGATCTAAGTAATGAAAGATGGGTCTATCAAAAAGGTAAACCACAGAATAGATGAGAGGAAAAAAGTAGGTGGTGTGTTGAGACATCTGTGGAAATAAATATTTTTATCTATGGGGGTCAAAAAAGAGAATGTACCATAGTAGAGTGATGCCAACACTTGTATGAGTGTGAAGCTTGAATTATGAATGTTGCAGTGAGAGGCTAGAGGCAGTTAAGCTGTCATGTTCGGGAGCAATGTGTATTGTGAATATTATGCAATGGATTTGAGGCACAAAGATTGAAAGATAGTGTGGGGTGACCAAGGGCATAATTCAAGAGAGATGAGAGGGTGTTCAGATACACCAAGTAGAGTGGATAGAGGGGGACAGGATTATGAAGGTAAACATATCTGGGGGTGGAAGTTAGGAGGGGTAGGGGAGTCATCCCAGAAAAAGCTGGAAGAGGGGTAAAGGCAGCTTTGAGTTTTAGGGACTTGAACATCCAGCAGGCTTATGTTCATTTCTATACATTATGTTCATGTACATTCAAACATCCCTGAGATTTGTTTTCTATTATTAAATTTGAGATAGGATAACAAGCCTCTTTTTCTTTGAATCTGTAGACATTATAAAGGATAAGTGTATATCTTGCTAGACTAACACTGAGTACAAGAGGTAATTACACTGCTACTTCTAACCCACCTTCCTCATTGAACTGAAAATTTAAAAAATTCTAGGTTAGTAAAGGTGACAAGTGCATAATGAATGTAAGTTAGAATGACTAATATCAAGCTGTTTCTAATATTTGTTAGAAAAAGTGAAAACAAGCAATTTACAAGTGCAAAACACAAAACAGGGTTCAATTTTCCATATATCTGGAATTGAACAGGACATGCAGATGTGCACCATATGTATATCTGTTCAATCCTCAAACACAGTTTATTAAAAAATCTTACTTCAAAGCCTCCAAGTGCCTACGAGTTGCTTCTTTACGTCGCTTTTCGGAGGATATTTGCTCTACCAAGATGCGTACTAACTCAATCCTCTGGATTGAGCCCAGAAGAATCATTGAATCTGCGAAAATAAAATTAACAATGAAAGTTGCTCTTGAAAGAAGCATAATGAACCAGGAATGTGCAAACTATTTTTCATCAATACAATCTCTCCTCTCTTAACAACAGAGTTCCATTCCCGAGACCACGTTGTTAAACAAATTTGTTGCTAAGCGAGGAGCATACTATAATGGTAGCGAGTTTGTGTCAACCATCTTTGATATTGTTTTAATGTCATCTTTCCACCATTTATAACATTTCTGGTATATTTTTAAATGTTAATACAGTGGTGTAATGTATACTGAAATAAACAGAATAGAGAAAATCAGCTCTAATATACACTATTTAGGTATGAATGCTGTATAGCCCTTGTGGCTTAGCGCTTCTTTTTGATTATAATAATAATTAGGTATGAATACTGGTCAGAGAGCCCGTTGTAAGTCTGAGGCGTCGGTAAACGAGTATGGTGCTAAGTGAGGAGAGGCTGTACTGTATGCTAATTCTTACACTAGGTTATTAGTTCTATAAATAAAATATACTATGTTAAGAAAAGATGCATATATTACATTCCATTTGGATCTCAGGATACAACTGAGTAAGTTGAACACTGACACAGTGGAAGGAAACTCCATACAGAGGGTTCAAAAATAGACATAACAAGGCTCAATCATGTTAGTTGATCAACAGACAAGAGACAGGACCAAAGGTTCAAGCTCCACTCCCCTCTCCCACAAACTCAACTGATACTTACAAATACGTCATTACACTTTAACAATAAAATTAATTTTTTTAATGTACTGGCCATTTCCCCACCAAGGAAGAGTGACCTAAAAAGAAAAACAAAGGTTTTTCTTCATAGACATATAAAGTTTTTCTTTTTACATTAATAACTTAAACATGAGAAGGGGTTACTGTCCCCTTGCTCTCGGCATTTTAGTCACCACTTATGACATGCATGGCTTACAAAGGGAGGTAGGATTCTTTTTCCACTTCCCCATGGAGAACATAATGAATATAAAAAGATCACCAACTCACCATGCTTGTCAACCAAAGGTAAATACTTGAGCTTGCGGTTTTCTTTCAGAATTCTCTTAAGCTCCGTGTATGTGATGCCATACCAGATGTACTTCACATCTCGCACCATGATATCTTCCACATAGATGTTATATACATCCGCTGCAATGGAAACAAAAAATGTTTTAATTCACTGTTGTGTTATAACACTCAAAGGATGTATATTTTTAGTGTATGTAGTAGAATATATTTATATGTCTATGATCATTTTTTCCTTGTAATAAACCATTACATCATATCTTACATGATGTTGTGGCAACTATATCTGGAAGGTATGGCAACTTCTTAATGCGGATCATGCTGTCGTATATGGATGGTTGAAGAAGTGACGATATGCAATTTGAAATTAAAACACCAATCTGAAATAAATTAACGAGATTAATGAACTACACAGCAAAGATATAATTAATCTTTATACATATCAGTACATAACAAATTCTTAATTAATTCTAAAGCTGATTCCTGACTTTTTATAAACCTGATACAGCCGTGATGTAAAGCAGTAAGACTGCTTTAATACACTGAAGTTGCAGTGATTTATTTCTGTGACTATCTGTTACAGCAAACCCATTTATGATTCTCTAGTTTTAATATTCCACTATAGGGTGAGAGTGTTGCCTTCTTTGGGTCACCCTGCCCTGGCAGGAGACAACTGTTGACATAACAAAAAGTACATAACTACAGGATGTGCAATAGTCTCAGAAGTTTGCTGAGGAAATTTTAGCATGAATGAAAAGTAAAAAAAAAAATTATTATTATAAATGATGCACCCTTGTGTAAAATACTCTTTTGAAAGGAAAAAATAAGGAGTAATACTAATTAAAGGAATGAAAATTAAACTACACTATGAGCAAACCAGGAGCACTTAAAAAAATAATTTGTATAACTAAGCATGATATTTGTATATTTAAAAAAGCACCTTTGTAACAGAGTACTCTAATATAGCTGATTAAACAAGCTTTCTCTTACATACCTCTCAATGAAGGTGCCTTGAAACTGATAAGGGGCTCTTAACCCAAGGAAGTGAACTTAATCTTTCCTTCCTTGGACTGAACTTTATTACCTTCCACGCTGTATAGCCCTTGTGGCTTAGCACTTCTTTTTGATAATAATAATAATATTACCTCCCATTCCCATTATTCTATGTGACCCCTGTGGGTTTACCACTTCCCCTGGTAACAATAATAATAATAAACAATAATAATAATTTCTATTACACAAACAAAATTCATGACATGCAATAATTGCTTACCATTATAGGTATTACGTAAGTAATCTGTCCAGTGAGCTCAAAGACGATCACAGAAATGGAAATAGTGTGAGTGATCGCTGCACAGAAGGATGCTGCTCCCACCATAGCATAGGCACCTATGATAGATTTTTTAATTTAAGTTAACTGTGAATGTGTTTGAAGCCTATAGGTAATAAATAAGTTACATATGAAAATGTCTACCATGGGTAGAGCCTGCATGCATAACTGGGTTTCCATTCAGCAAACAGCTGCTTGTTATACATTGTTCCTTACATAACTGGGCTTCCACTCACTAAACTATTGTTATACATTGCTCCTTACACACTGTGTACACAGATTCAAGATGTTTGTTGATAATAAGCATTCACTATTATCCCTAACTACTCTAAATTGCATACATGATATGCTTGTTAATGTGTCACTATATCTGCCTAGTCAAAGAATACCCCCTCCTCTCAATGTTAAATGCTGTACTGGCTACATATAGTAATAATGTTGGTAGAATTACCGACAATATGTAAAGTAAAAGGACACAGGTGCAACTAATGTGACATTTTTATTGTGGCAACGTTTCGCTCTCCAGGAGCTTTGTCAAGCTGTTACGGCTTGACAAAACTCCTGAAGAGCGAAACGTTGCCTGGCTACATATAATACAATATATGAAATGGGAATGTGTAGTTATAAAAATATGCTGTTAATGTATTAAAAGTGCTTTTACCAACTAGTCCCACACTAACCTGGTACAATGGGAAAACCTGGGTTAATCCCAATGGGGTAGAGTGAAGCCATGAATTCACCAATTTGACGACCAAATGCTGCTCCAACTTTAAACAGTGGAATCAGCATACCAGAAGGCACAGGTAAGGTTGAAGCAACAGCTATCTGAAATATCTGAAAAATATACAAAAACTGTAGTTGGTAGTAAAACCACTACTAAAGAATATAGAGAATAAAAAGGCACAATACACAAATAACCTGCACATAGGAGAAAGAATCTTGTAACGATGTTTCGGACCAACTTGAACCATTAGTCACACACTAACATTAAGTGTGACTTCTTAATGGCTCAAGTCAGATCAAAACATTGTTATAAGTTTTTTCTCCTACACACGGGTTATCTATGTGTTACAGATGATGCCACAGTATCACTGTAACATTGTGCCACATCACACGACCTCTAGAGCTGGAACGAGTGAAGCTCCCCAAGCCGAGCCATGACCCAACCAAGCCTTTTGCTAAGAGTTAACTGCACAAAGTGGTTCAGCTCAAGAGTTGGCCTGCCCAAGGATTTATCAGAACTACTTTAGAAGATTTTTTCTTCATTTCATACCTCTATGGCTGCAAAAGTAGAAATAAAATTCATTTACACATAAAAATAAAGTTCGTTTAACACTAGTCTAATCATAATCATGTAACTGCTTCTATACAGTTATAATGATGATGCGACACTTGAACAAAATATCTGATGGCGTTATGCTAATAATTTAATATAATAAAATGGAGGACCAGTGTTTTTTGGAATTTCACGTACAGTGGACCCCCGCATAACGATCACCTCCGAATGCGACCAATTATGTAAGTGCGTTTGTACATGTATGTTTGGGGGTCTGAAATGGACTAATCTACTTCACAATATTCCTTATGGGAACAAATTCGGTCAGTACTGGCACCTGAACATACTTCTGGAGTGAAAAAATATCGTTAACCGGGGGTCCACTGTATTGTCAGAATGTTAGCAGGGTAACAATATTTATGGATGGCTTCAGGAAAACTGGTTAGCCAGACTAATCCAATGATTTTTCAACTATTGAGAAAAAATGAAAACCAGGACAGAGGGCCTCCAAGAAAACTAGCATGCAGCATAGATAAACAAGTTACACTTTTCATGAATGAAGTCTAGTAGCTGAGTAATGAGAAGAGAAGAGATCACAAGCAGAAAGTCAGGGAGGTGAGAGAAACTTTAGACATCATACGAGAAGGACAATTTGAAAGCATGCATCACACATAGAATGTCCCCAGAAGCACCTATCAGTCATATAGTTTTGGATGCATGTGCAAAATTACTTAATATAAAACTACCTTTCAGGAATCTTAACAAGGAATCCATTAAGAGATTTAACACAATTCTGACCTATCTTTGAGTGTAGTACCAACATGAAGCTTGCACCTGATGAATTAAGAGAAAGTTAAAAAGATCCAGAGGTTTGCATTAAAACTGGTATTGAAACTGAGGGACACTTAAATACGAGAAGACTTAATGAATTAACAACCCTAGAAAAGAGAATCAAAGATGACATTATCATAACAAAAAACACCAATACTGTCCTAATGGTAGAACAGAATGTGGACAGAGGTAGACCAAGATGCAAGAACCACCAACTAAATAGACAGATTATACAGAAATATTAGGAAGTAGAGTTATTATTGAAAGAATTAAGAGTAAGACGGAGAATAGGATAGCAGATGAACAAGGAGGCTTTAGGAAAGGTAGGGGGGGTGTGGACCAGGCGTTTACAGTGAAACATATAAGTGAACAGTATTTAGATAAGGCTAAAGAGGTCTTTGTGGCATTTATGGATTTGGAAAAGGCGTATGACAGGGTGGATAGGGAGGCAATGTGGCAGATGTTGCAAGTGTATGGTGTAGGAGGTAGGTTACTGAAAGCAGTGAAGAGTTTTTACGAGGATAGTGAGGCTCAAGTTAGAGTATGTAGGAAAGAGGGAAATTATTTCCCAGTAAAAGTAGGCCTTAGACAAGGATGTGTGATGTCACCGTGGTTGTTTAATATATTTATAGATGGGGTTGTAAGAGAAGTAAATGCGAGGGTCTTGGCAAGAGGCGTGGAGTTAAAAGATAAAGAATCACACACAAAGTGGGAGTTGTCACAGCTGCTCTTTGCTGATGACACTGTGCTCTTGGGAGATTCTGAAGAGAAGTTGCAGAGATTGGTGGATGAATTTGGTAGGGTGTGCAAAAGAAGAAAATTAAAGGTGAATACAGGAAAGAGTAGGTTATGAGGATAACAAAAAGATTAGGTGATGAAAGATTGAATATCAGATTGGAGGGAGAGAGTATGGAGGAGGTGAATGTATTCAGATATTTGGGAGTGGACGTGTCAGCGGATGGGTCTATGAAAGACGAGGTGAATCATAGAATTGATGAGGGGAAAAGAGTGAGTGGTGCACTTAGGAGTCTGTGGAGACAAAGAACTTTGTCCTTGGAGGCAAAGAGGGAAATGTATGAGAGTATAGTTTTACCAACGCTCTTATATGGGTGTGAAGCATGGGTGATGAATGTTGCAGCGAGGAGAAGGCTGGAGGAAGTGGAGATGTTATGTCTGAGGGCAATGTGTGGTGTGAATATAATGCAGAGAATTCGTAGTTTGGAAGTTAGGAGGAGGTGCGGGATTACCAAAACTGTTGTCCAGAGGGCTGAGGAAGGGTTGTTGAGGTGGTTCGGACATGTAGAGAGAATGGAGCGAAACAGAATGACTTCAAGAGTGTATCAGTCTGTAGTGGAAGGAAGGCGGGGTAGGGGTCGGCCTAGGAAAGGTTGGAGAGAGGGGGTAAAGGAGGTTTTGTGTGCGAGGGGCTTGGACTTCCAGCAGGCATGCGTGAGCGTGTTTGATAGGAGTGAATGGAGACAAATGGTTTTTAATACTTGACGTGCTGTTGGAGTGTGAGCAAAGTAACATTTATGAAGGGGTTCAGGGAAACCGGCAGGCCGGACTTGAGTCCTGGAGATGGGAAGTACAGTGCCTGCACTCTGAAGGAGGGGTGTTAATGTTGCAGTTTAAAAACTGTAGTGTAAAGCACCCTTCTGGCAAGACAGTGATGGAGTGAATGATGGTGAAAGTTTTTCTTTTTTCGGGCCACCCTGCCTTGGTGGGAATCGGCCAGTGTGATAATAAAAATAATAAATAATTAGGAAGTACTTCAGCCTGAGGGTCCGAAGTGAAATAAACTAGATGAAGAGATGGTGGAGGCAACCCTGCACAGTTTATATAGGTACAATAGGGCTGTTGGAGTGTGAGCAGGGTGATATTTCATGAAGAGATTCAGGGAAACGATTAGCTGAACTTAGAGTCCCGGAGGTGGGAAGTACAGTGCCTGCACTCTAAAGCAGAGGTTTGGGATATCTGCTGTTTAGAGTGACATCCAAACTGTCAAATCTGTATGCCTCTGGCAAGACAGTGATAGTGTGAAAGATGATGATAGTGTTTCTTTTCTGGGTTACCCTATCTCAGTGGGAGACCACCAGTGATAAAACAAAAAAAATAATATAGAATCTTGTAAGCCAGCCATGCTATCCAGTTGCTCAAATCTTCCCTGCTAGTACTTAAAGAAACTAAGTCAGCACTTACTTGACCTGTTGCATGCTGAGCTTTGCTCACCATATGCATTTATTTTTATTGCTTTTTCATTTTTTCAGCTAGGGTTTTATTTTCATGTTTTTCTTATTAATACAGTAAAGGCTTTACCAAATCAATCCTACATTCTCCTCCATCACAACTCCTGCAAAAACAACTACTATTGGGAGTGCAAATACACACTGAACATATGTATACCCCAGGTCAATTTCAGTTTACATCAAGGAGAGAGAGCACATTGCTCTACTAATCTTCCAGTGCCTTAACAGTTTCCATGATAGTATATTGATAGTAGTCTAATAGCTACATCGCAAAAACGTGAAATTAACTGACGACAATCAAATGCGATTGTAAACTTTAGCAAATTACTCACAGACACAATCTGGAAGACAAAAAGGCTAAGATGGAAGCTCCCTTCAAGATTGGGAACCCAGAACTTTAAGATGCTCTCCTGATCAGGAGACATTATTCCATCAGCACTTGTAACTGTCCAAGTAACATTGCTGAAGAGCTGCAAGATCTGGAAAATATGTTAATAAAAATATATAAATAATAATAATAATATAATGCCCAAAATGGCAAATAATACCCTATACTGTATTTTTTGGCATATGAGGCACGTGCACGATCATATAGGACATACAAGACAATGTTTCCAAGCAGTTGTAAGGTAACATTAATAAACAACTGCTAAAGTATAACCCAAAGCCTACCCTTGACCTGCCCTTGAGCATGTAAGGTGCAAGCTGATTTTCCAAGACTTTGTGTGGGGAAAAAAATACACCTTATATGCCGGAAAATACAGTACCCAACATACAAGTGCAAAAAAAATTTCTTAGTGGCTGAGAAACTAAAGGCAAACCCCCGAGGCTACTGGTTAAACAACTGATAACCATACATATGATACTCACATTACCACAATTTATGGGAGGAAAAAAATTCTTATCTAGATCTTTTACACATTTTAAGTTTTTGCAAATAACCAAAGAGTCATTGTAGGATCTAGCACTTCCCTCAAAGCCTCCTTGATGCTAGTGAAAGGACCTTGAGCCAAGGAGCTGGGCCTGCCCTCCCCTTCCTTGGATAAACCTTTAATGCATCTCATTCCTAGAGGCAGTTATAATTTATAGACATAATTTATTGAGGATTTTACCAAACTTTGCAAATTACCAGTACTAATTATTTTTAAATTTAAGGGGTATATTTATCCTTCCTGTTCTCTGTAATCTACAATAGAGAAAAAGAAAGAAGAGAAACAGAAGTAATCTTGGTAACAAAATAGGTTGTATATAGAGAACTAGCCAAATAAAATCTTGTACTTTAAACTGTTCGTCAAATACATTACGCAGAATTTTCTGCAACAATTTCGTACACAGTATTACAAGTGGCTTTTTTTCCACTTCTTTAAAGCCTTTTAGCATTTTAAATGTATTAAGAAGAAAAACTACACCCACCTGTTTACTTGAGGGTAAAGTTGCTGCCATGAACTGACCCAGACACAGTGGGAAGGTCATTATTGAAATAGCAATAGTAACGAATGTAGGATACAGCAGGCGCCTGCAAGCATGAAAAAATTAGTAAGAGAGGCCATTGTATCTACAATAACGTATATATCTGAGAATATGCCAGGCATGCATACTTTTTTTTTAACACACTGGCCATCTCCCACTGAGAAATGGTGACTGCCAAAAAAATTAGCAGTTTCACCATCATTCATACTATCACTGTCTTTGCTGAGGTACAGCTTAAATATACTGAGTGAAAAAGTATACTCAAGTACAGCATACACAGCATTCCCCCCCTCCCCCCAAAAAAACACACACAACATGCACACATATACACATTATACATTTTTTTTTTTTCCAACAAGTCGGCCGTCTCCCACCGAGGCAGGGTGACCCAAAAAAGAAAGAAAATCCCCAAAAGAAAATACTTTCATCATCATTCAACACTTTCACCACACTCATACATTATCACTGCTTTTGCAGAGGTGCTCAGAATACAACAGTTTAGAAGCATATACGTATAAAGATACACAACATACCCCTCCAAACTGCCAATATCCCAAACCCCTCCTTTAAAGTGCAGGCATTGTACTTCCCATTTCCAGGACTCAAGTCCGACTATATGAACATAACCAGTTTCCCTGAATCCCTTCACTAAATATTACCCTGCTCACACTCCAACAGATCGTCAGGTCCCAAGTATCATTCGTCTCCATTCACTCCTATCTAACACGCTCATGCACGCTTGCTGGAAGTCCAAGCCCCTCGCCCACAAAACCTCCTTTACCCCCTCTTTCCAATCCTTTCAAGGACAACCCCTACCCCTCCTTCCTTCCTCTATAGATTTATATGCTTTCCATGTCATTCTACTTTGATCCATTCTCTCTAAATGACCAAACCACCTCAACAACCCCTCTTCTGCCCTCTGACTAATGCTTTTATTAACTCCACACCTTCTCCTAATTTCTACACTCCGAATTTTCTGCATAATATTTACACCACACATTGCCCTTAGACAGGACATCTCCACTGCCTCCAACAGTCTCCTCGCTGCTGCATTTACCACCCAAGCTTCACATCCATATAAGAGTGTTGGTACTACTATACCTTCATACATTCCCTTCTTTGCCTCCATAGATAACGTTTTTTGACTCCACATATACCTCAACGCACCACTCGCCTTTTTTCCCTCATCAATTCTATGATTAACCTCATCCTTCATAAATCCATCCGCCGACACGTCAACTCCCAAGTATCTGAAAACATTCACTTCTTCCATACTCCTCCTCCCCAATTTGATATCCAATTTTTCTTTTATCTAAATCATTTGATACCCTCATCACCTTACTCTTTTCTATGTTCACTTTCAACTTTCTACCTTTACACACATTCTCAAACTCATCCACTAACCTTTGCAATTTTTTCTTTAGAATCTCCCATAAGCACAGTATCATCAGCAAAAAGTAACTGTGTCAATTCCCATTTTGAATTTGATTCCCCATAATTTAATCCCACCCCTCTCCCGAACACCCTAGCATTTACTTCTTTTACAACCCCCTCTATAAATATATTAAACAACCATGGTGACATTACACATCCCTGTCTAAGACCTACTTTTACCAGGGAAAATTTCCCTCTCTTTAAACCCTAACCTGAGCCTCACTATCTCATAAAAGCTCTTTACAGCATTTAGTAAATTTCCACCTATTCCATATCTTGCCCAAAATTTTGCCCCCATTTTCTCCCTTTTCCACTCTATCATATGCCCTTTTTTAAATCCTAAAAGCAAAAAAACTTCCCTACCTTTTTCTAAATACTGTTTTAATATATGCTTCAAGTAAAACTGTCTCACATCCCCCACCCCTCTGTGCCTCCCTTATACATATTTTCAAAGTTTGTCAACATTTTAAGGCATTTAAAAAAATTTAAAAAATATCCAAATAGAAAAGATCAAAATTTTGCGCATATTTAAGAAATTTTGTTAAAAGAAAACCCGAAGAGAATTTAAGTGTATCTGTCCTGGGTGGACCTGAGGAAAACACAGCTAATCTTCCTTCTTTGAACCAACTTTATTGCCTCCCTTTGCCCGGGGGCTGTATGCCCTCCGAGTTTAGCACTTCAAAAAAAACATAATAATCTAAATTAAAATAAAAAAATATATATGAATTAAACCTTTGTTTGCATATGAAAAGGAATTTTAAGTAGGAATTTGAGAATGGGATAAGGTCAAAAATTTAAATAAAAAAAATTTTTTTATAAAAAAAAAAAGGGTTTTAAAAATTGTTTGAAAAAGGGGAATATTTGTGAAGAAAAAATTTTTTTTTTGATTAAGTTAACACTGTGTTTTTAAGAAAAAAAACAGTTTTTGTGACCCTGCAATCAATGGTTAAAATATATTTATCAGCTATTGGAGGATAGATGGGCCTAATGAGAGCATAGGCAATGGGGGTCGAAGAGGTATGGGGTAGGTTTAAAATGTAGTGTTAGAGTGTTCAGCAGAAGTTGTGGTTACAGGAAAGTGGGTGCAGGAGGGAAGAGGAGCGATTGTGGAATGATGATGTAAAGAGAGTAGTAAGGGAGAAAAAGTTAGCATATGAGAAGTTTTTACAAAGTAGAAGTGATGCAAGGAGGGAAGAGTATATGGAGAAAAAGAGAGAAGTTAAGAGAGTGGTGAAGCAATGTAAAAAGAGAGCAAATGAGAGAGTGGGTGAGATGTTATCAACAATTTTGTTGAAAATAAGAAAAAGTTTTGGAGTGAGATTAACAAGTTAAGAAAGCCTAGAGAACAAATGGATTTGTCAGTTAAAAATAGGAGAGGAGAGTTATTAAATGGAGAGTTAGAGGTATTGGGAAGATGGAAGGGGAAAATTTTGAGGAATTGTTTAAAAGTTGATGAAGATAGGGAAGCTGTGATTTCGTGTATAGGGCAAGGGGGAATAACATCTTGTGGGTGAGGAAGAGCCAGTTGTGAGTGTGGGGAAGTTCGTGAGGGAGTAGGTAAAAATGAAAGGGGGTAAGGCAGCCGGGATTGATGGGATAAAGATAAAAAATGTTAAAAGCAGGTGGGGATATAGTTTTGGAGTGGTTGGTGCAAATTATTTAATAAATGTATGGAAGAAGGGGAAGGTACCTAGGGATTGGCAGAGAGCTGATAGTTCCTTTGATAAAGGCAAAGGGGATAAAAGGAGGCTTTGGGAAAAAGGGTTGGGGGGGTTTTGTGGCCCAAAGGTTTTACCGAAAAAACATAAAAGGGTGAACAGTATTTAGATAAGGCTAAAGAGGTCTTTGGGGCCCTTTTTATGGTTTTGGAAAAAGGCGTATAAACAGGGTGGAAAAGGGGGGCAATGTGGCAGATTTTTTGCAAGTGAAATGGTGTAGGAGGTGGGTTTAAAACGGGAAAGCAGGAAGATTTTTTTTAAAACGAGGATAGGAGGCTAAAAGTTAGAGTATGTAGGAAAGGGGGAAAATTTTTTCCCCCCCCAGTAAAGGTGGGCCTTAACAAGGATGTTTTGGATTTTCCCGGGGGTTGTTTAAATTTTTTATAGATGGGGTTGTAAGAAAGTAAATGCGGGGGTTTTGGCAAGAGGCGTGGAGTTAAAAGATAAAGAATAAACACAAAAAAGGGGATTTTGTCACAGCTGCTTTTTTGCTATAAACACTGTGCCTTGGGAGTTTTCTGAAGAGAAGTTGAAAGAATTGGGGGATTTTTTTTGGGTAGGGTGTGCAAAAGAAAAAAAATTTAAAAGGTGAATACAGGAAAAAAGAAAGGGTTTATGAGGATAAAAAAAAGATTATTAAAATGAAAGATTGAATATCAATTGGAGGGAGAGAGTTTTGGGGAGGTAAAACAAATTCAAATTTTTGGGGAGGGGAAAACGTGTCAGAAAAATGGGTCTATGAAAATGAGGTGAATCATAAAATTTTGATGGGGAAAAAAATTGAGTGGGCACTTAGGAGTCTGGGAGACAAAGAACTTTGTCCTTGGAGGCAAAGGGGGGAATGTAGAAAAGTATAGTTTACCAACGCCCCTTATAGGGGGTAGCGTGGGTGATGAATTTTTGCAGCGAGGAAAAGGGGCTGGAGGCAGTGGAAATTTTAAATTCGGGGGCCCAATTTTGGGGGTGTGAAATAATCCAAAAATTTCCCGTATTTTTGGAAGTTGGGGAGGGGGTGGGGGGAAATTCCCAAAAAACTTTTGGGTCCAAGGGCGGGGAAGGGGTTGTTGAGGGGGGTTCGGAAAAGTAGAAGAAAGGGAGCAAAACCCGAATGATTTCCCAAGATTTGTTTTCCAACCTGTAGTGGAAAAGGGGGGGATGGGGGTCGGCCTAGGAAGGGTTGGAGGGAGGGGGAAAAAGGGGGTTTTTGGTGCAGGGTTTTGGGATTTCCCCAGCAGGCATCGTGAGCGGTTTGATAGGATTTGAATGGAGACAAATGGTTTTTTTAAATACTTGACGGGGCTGTTGGAGGTGAGCAAAAAAAACTTTTTTAATGGGGGGTTTTTCGGGGAAACCGGGGGCCGGACTTGAGTCCGGGAAATGGGAAGTACAGTCCCTTTCACTCTGAAGGAGGGGTGTTAATTTTGCATTAAAAACTGTAGTGTAAACCCCCTTTTCGGGCAAAAAGGGGGGAAGGGGAGTGAATGATGGTGAAATTTTTTCTTTTTCGGGCCCCCCCTCCCTTGGGGGGAAAATCGGCCAGTGTGATAATAAAAAAAAAAAAAAAAAATAGAGAACTACCAAAAAAAAATCGTACTTTAAAAATGTTTTGTCAAAAACATTTAAAGCAGAATTTTCCCGCAACAAATTTTTGTACAAAAAGTATTACAAGTGGGGTTTTTTTCCCCCTTCTTTAAAAGCCTTTTTGCATTTTTAAAAAGTATTAAGAAGAAAAAACTACACCCACCTGTTTTTCTTGAGGGTAAAGTTTGCTGCCCTGAACTGACCCCCGACACAGTGGGAAAGGGCATTAAATTTAAAAAAGCAATATAACGAAAAGTAAGGGTACAGCCCGGGGCCCCGCAAGCATGAAAAAAAATTTTAAGAGAAAGGCCCCTTGGATCTACAATTTAAAGTATATATCGAGAATTGCCAGGCCCTTCAAAACTTTTTTTTTTTAAAACACTGGCCATCTCCCACTGAGAAAAAGGTACTGCCAAAAAAAATTTGCAGTTTCCCCATCATTCATACTTCACGTCTTTGCTGGGTACAGCTTTAAATATACTGGGGAAAAAGTATACTCAAGTACAGCATACACAGCATTCCCCCCCCCCCCCAAAAAAAAAACACACAAACTACACAATACACATTTATATTTTTTTTTTTTTTTTCCAACAAGTCGGCCGTCTCCCACCGAGGCGGGGGTGACCCAAAAAAAAAAAAAACCCCCCCAAAAGAAAATATTTCATCCATTCAAACTTTCCCCACACTCATACATTATCACTGCTTTTGCAGGGGCTCAAATACAACAGTTTGAAGCTTTTCGTATAAAGAACACAACAACCCCCCAAACTCCCAATTCCCCAAAAAACCCCCCTTTAAAGTCAGGCATTGTACTTCCCATTTCCGGACTCAAGTCCACTATAGAACATAACCTTTTTTCCCTGAATCCTTCCTAAATATTACCCGCTCACACCCCAAACAGATCGTCAGGTCCCAATATATTCGTCTCCATTCATCCTATCTAACACGCTCATGCACGTTTGCGGGAACCAGCCCCTCCCCACAAAACCTCCTTTACCCCCCCCTTTCCAATCCTTTCAAGGACAACCCCCACCCCCCCCTTCCTTCCTCTATAGATTTTATGCTTTCCATGTATTCTACTTTTTCCATTCTCTTAAATGACCAAACCACCTCAAAAACCCCCTTTTGCCCTCGATAATGCTTTATTAACCCACACCTTTTCCCAATTTCACACTCCGAATTTTCCTCATAAATTTACACCAACATTGCCCTTAACAGGACACTCCACTGCCTCCAACCGTCCCTCGCGTGCATTTACCACCCAAGCTTCAATCCATATAAGATGTTGGTCTCTATACCTTCAAAATTTTCCCCTTTTTTGCCCCCATAGAAACTTTTTTTTACTCCACATATACCCCAACGCACCACCTCGCCTTTTTTTCCCCCATCAATTCTATGATTAACCCCATCCTTTATAAATCCATCCGCCGACACGTCAACTCCCAAGTATCTGAAAAATTCACTTCTTCCATACTCCCCCCTCCCCAATTTGTATCCAATTTTTCTTTATCTAAATCATTTGATACCCTCATACCTTACTCTTTTCTATGTTCACTTTCAACTTTCTACCTTTACACACATTCTCAAACTAAATCCACAAACCCTTTGAAAAATTTTTCTTTAGAATCTCCCATAAGCACAGTATCATAAAGCAAAAAGAAAACTGTGTCAATTCCCATTTTGAATTTGATTCCCCTAATTTTAATCCCCCCCCTTTCTCCCGAACACCCTAGCATTTACTTCTTTTACAACCCCATCTATAAATATATTAAACAACCATGGTGACATTACACATCCCTGTCTAAGACCTACTTTTACCAGGAAGTATTCTCCCTCTCTTCTACACACCCTAACCTGAGCCTCACTATCCTCATAAAAGCTCTTTACAGCATTTAGTAACTTACCACCTATTCCATATACTTGCAATATCTGCCACATTGCTCCTCTATCCACTCTATCATATGCCTTTTCTAAATCCATAAATGCAATAAAAACTTCCCTACCTTTATCTAAATACTGTTCACATATATGCTTCAATGTAAACACTTGATCTACACATCCCCTACCCACTCTGATGCCTCCATTATACATATCTGTTCATAAGTTCTTGTCAACATTTTAAGGGCATTTAAAATATAAGAAATATCCAAATAGAAAGATCAAAATAATATGCAGCATATTTAGAGAATTTAGTCTAATGAACCAGAAGAGATATTTAAGTGTATCTGTCCTGGGTGGACCTGAGGAAACACAGCTAATCTTCCCTTCTTTGAACCAACTTGATTGCCTCCCTTTGCCTGGGTGCTGTATGACCCTCACGAGTTTAGCACTTCAAAATAAACATAATAATCCTAATATTAATAATAAAAGAAACTATATATGAATTAACCATATGTGTTGCATATGAAGAGGAATTTTAAGTAGGTAATTTGAGAATGAGGATAAGAGTACAAATATAACTAAAACATAATTTATAATAAAAAAACAGGGTTTTAAAATTAGTTTGAAAGAGAGAATATTTTGTGTAAGAAAACTTTTTACTTATGATTAAGTTAACACTGTGTTACTTAAGAAGTAAAACAGTTTAATGTGTACCATGCAATCAATGGTTAAAATATTATTTATCAGTAATATAATATTTTGTGATCCTACATGAACGAACCTGATCATGTTCAGGGAGTAATTTTTATATACCCATCTTGTAAATTTTGGTTATTTTTATATGTTCTAAAATTCTTCTTGAAACCCGTTACATTTTACTGGACTTATCACATGCAGAATTTTTTCACTCAGATTGAGTGATAATGTGAATGATGGTGAGTGTTGAATGATGGTGAAAGTGTTCCTTTCTTTTTTGGGTCACCATGCCTCAGTGAGAGACGGCCAGTGTTGAAAAAAAACAAAAGGATGCAAAATGCCAATGTCTACAGCAACAACATTAAAACTCACTTTTTTTGGAGGAAATTCTTAAGAGTCTTGTTGTGTCGCATAAACATCACATATCTTCGGTGGAGATAGACAAAGAGGGAACCAGCAAAGCCACAAATAATGCTGAAAAAATGTCAAATTAAGAATATTAAAAGCTTATCAAATATGATAGTTAAAATACAACTATGTATACCACAAAAGGTGTCTCAATATCACTAAATTAAAGGAGAAACAATGAAAGAAAATGATTTTTTATCAATACTATATAAATGTTATAATGTGTATGAATGTGTGTTAATATATATATATATATATATATATATATATTTATATATATATTTAATATATATATATATTTAAAAAATATATCATACATACATACATACATACATACATACATACATACACACACACTTTATTTATATTGCTACAATATATATTAAAGTCTAGAAAAAATAAATATGCATACCAATTATTTATAAAATAATCTAAGAATGAACAGAAAACTAAAAGAAAGTGTGTAGCACTGTACTAGTCCATCAAACTTCCAAACAATCTTTTCCTAAATATCAATTAAAGCGTCATAACCAAATTTAGAGAAAAGCATTTATTGTGTACCAAACAAAAACTGAAAGTTTTATTCAACAATCATTTATACTCTTCTTATTCACAAAGTTTACACAGGCAAACTGCATCAACCTGATAAGTCTCTCTTGAGCTGAAAAGAGGCAATAGTAGTGGTAACAGTATAGTAGTAGTAATAGTAGTAGTAATAGTAGTAGTAATAGTAGTCAGTAATAGTAGCAGTAATAGTAGTGTAAAGTAGTAAATAGTAGTTTAATAGTGTATAATAGTAGTAGTAATAGTATAGTAAGTAAATAGTAGCAGTAAATAGTAGTTGAGTAATAATAGCATAATAGTAGTAGTAATAGATAGAGTGTAATGTGTAGTAGTAGTAAGTAGTTAGTAGTATAGTAATATGTAGTAATATAGTAGTATGTTAGTAATATAGTAGTAAGGTAACTAGTAGTAATAGTAATATATAGTAGTAATAATAGTAGTAAATAATAGTAGTAATAGTAGTAGTAATAGTGAGTAAAGTAGTATAGTATATGTAGTAATAGTAGTAGTAATAGTAGTAGTAATAGTAGTAATAGTAATAGTAGTAATAGTAATAGTAGTAATAGTAGTAATAGTATAATGTAGTAGTAGTAATAGTAGTAGTAGTAATAGTAATAGTAATAATGTAGTAGTAATAGTAATAGTTTAGTAATAGTAATAGTAGTATGTAGTAGTAAAGTAATTAATAGTAGTAGTAGTAATAGTAGTAGTAATAGTAGTAGTAGTAATAGTAGTAGTAGTAATAGTAGTAGTAGTAATAGTAGTAGTAGTAATAGTAGCAGTAATAGTAGTAATAGTAGTAGTAATAGTAATAATAGCAATATCAACAGTAGTAATAGTAATAATAGTAACAGTAGTAGTAGTAATAGTAGTAGTAATAGTAATAGTAGTAGTAATAGTAATAGTAGTAGTAATAGTAATAGTAGTAGTAATAGTAGTAGTAATAGTAATAGTAGTAGTAGTAATAGTAGTAGTAATAGTAATAGTGGATTAAGCCGAAGGACAAGAAAAAGGAGCACTGCAGGAGAGTTAATGGCCCACAAGGGGTTAGACCAAAAACACAGGGAGAGGGAAACTGAAGGAAAGGTAATCTGTTGCTGTCAACTGCACCCAAGAGAAACTGCTATCATAAATGAAGTGTCTCATAAGTCTCTACTGGCAACAAAATATTACAGCAGCACACATGCATCTTATGGAAATCAAGATGCTTAAAGTTAATTTCTTTTTAATTTGTATGCAATGAAGTGTAGAGGAATTACTGGTACCAAATTTATCAATTTCAACCAAGTAAAAAATTGTAAATTAAACACATATTAAAGCATATTTGGTATGCTAGTTAACTAGAAATAATTTAGTTTACCAAAAAGGCTCAACATATAATCTTCATCACAACTGTTAAAAAGCAGTTTTGAATTATTAAGCCTCCAGAAATACATACCCAATACAGAGGAAGGGCAGGAGCTCAATGACATCATACGGATACGCGTAGTTTAGTTCCACTTTGTACAGCGGGAAGATGGTCTCTGTCAAGTGCACAGCCAACATACAAGACTACAGGTTATATGAACTAAAAAAAAATACTTTTGGCTGCCTCTAGGTACAGTTCAACAACATTTTAGAGAAATAATTTTTTAGTAAAAGCATCCAGTTTGGTCAGAACTAACAATTTATTAAATGCTTCTGAACTGTACCACAGACATACCTATAATTACACACAAAACAACACTATGATCAAGACTTGCTAGTGCCAATTTAAAAAAACATGTCATCTGCAAAAATTTTATTTATATACAGTATACATATAGTCTACATGTACATAATACAGTATATATTTTTCTAGCCAGTGATTTTCTACCAAGGAAGGATGACCTAAAGAACAATACATTACATGTCAGTCAGTAAGTCAAGTTTGTCTGTCAAATCAAAAATAGTCAATAAGTAAAACAAAAAACAAAAACAAATAAGTAAAAAAGTACAATCAAATTAAAAAATTAAAAAAAAAAAAAAAAAAAAAAAAAAAGTAAAAGAAAAATATCATAATACAAAATCAAAAAGCATAAGGTCAAAAATATCAAAGAATATCAAAAAGTCAGTCAATCTCTTTCTCTCCATAGCTGCTTTTTACAAAAGTGCACAAACATCACAGTTCAATGATCCACCAACCAGAGCATCTGCACCATACTTTCAAAGTACAGTTACTGTACATACCATACTTCTCGTCTTCAAAATGCACGTAAACTTTTTTTTACCAAATTCCCCTCATGGAAATTACCATGTGCCTACTCTAACAGCATGACAAATCTTAAAAGCCTACTATACACTATAGTTTCTCAACTCCTTCACATCCTATTTTCAAGCCTTCCTCAGATATTCCCTAAACCATCTTCTATCTACCCAACATAACATCCCTATCTTGCCCCATTTTTCTAAATAACTAAACCATCTTTCTCCACAGTGATTCTCCTACTTTTTTCACATAACTTACTAAATCTTACAACTTCTTTAATCAATCAATCTTGATGTTCAATCCATCAATCTTTATGGAGTGAACACACTGATTACCTCAAACTCCTCCTCATTTTCCACCTTTCTCTGCATTGGACTGAAGAAGTCATTGACTGACAAAGCATTTGCAGAACAAAGATACCCAATTGTTGCACAAGTATCTCATTTATCAACTTCTCATTTTTCTAAACCAATTATTCACATTCTTTAATCATTGTTTACGTCAAAATGTTCACATCCAGCATGGTATCAGAAACTTCTACCTCCAGCCTCGTCCTCACCACAACATTCAAAGTCTGTCTCCCACAGAAAAAAAAAATGTATTGATACGACTATACTCTGGTACAATCAGTCACTTTTTGGGGGGATACATTGATCAACCTGTATATACTGTATACAGTAATGTATCTAAAAGGCACTAACCTGACTTGAAAAAAAAAAATTAGTAAAATTGTGATTATTCATTAACCAAAATCAACACTGAGTAACCACAGGGACAGGGAGGGCAAGAAATTCAGGCTCTACGCTAGCACACTGATTCTAAATTCATTATTGTAATTTATGGGGATAAGGAAAACACAAAAACATGCAGAATTATATGGTCTAAATATATCTATACACAGAAAACCAATTTAAATAAAAAATAAAGTAAAATATACATAAAATAAATTAAAGAACAAGGCAAGCTCACAATCTACACATTTTCAAACCTGATAAGTAATTGACTTCTCATGTGTTAAGGAACTCATCTATTGATCTTGAGCTGACAAAACAGCTTTGGCAAGATTCATTTCTCCGAGCTTTAAAGTGAAAAAATGAATTTTGACAAGGTAAATTGTTTTACCATGCATCAGTTCTTTGACTTATATGCTAAACACTATTACAACAAACAGTAGATACTAAAAATCTGTCATTACTTACGAGCACCCATGAACCACACTGACATCAGACGATAAAACATGGCCCCTACAACTGCAGCAAAGAACCCACGCCAATAGTTGCGTACAGCAAAGTATACGGTTGTTACTTCTATGCTGAAGAGAACACCTAGCAAAGAAATTTTTACCTTTAAATAATTTACCCAGATTAAAAGTGTCTTATCTAACTACAGTACAGGGGATATGCAATTACCATTTATGCTTGAAAAAAGAATTCTATGAAGCACTAAATATACAGCACAACTTTTACAGAAGTAGAAATATGCATTTTATTACATGCACTGAAGTACAAATGTACATTCTCAAGTAGCATGTGGCACAACAGTTTTACAAGGAGAGGAGTAGCTCCAATTCCTTGGATAAAGAGCCCTTCATTAGCTCTCCCATATTAAACTGGTAATATTAAAAATGGGATAACATATTCATGTGCACATCCATTTACAAACCTCCAATAGGAGCTGCATAGGAAACGGCAACACCCATGGTGCAGGCAGCTGCAAGAAGATCTGTAGAGCGCGCATCATTTTCAATAGTGCCTTTAATGTAGCGTAGCATTTTTGTGAGCATTGTAGCAATAATACTGGCCATGTGCATCACTGGCCCTTCTTTACCAAGAGGTAGACCAGAGCCTAACACAGCAGCCAAACCTACAATCTGAAAATGCAGTACTGGTATCATATATTTGATCATACTGAATTTACCAAGATAATATTGTATAAGCAAGCAAATATGAGCTGATTACATATATATTATCAGCTTGATACAATTCAAATATTTTACATACACAAACTGAACGACAGACAAGAAGGAGAAGGGAAGAAAGAGGGCGCAGAAAGTGTTGACTTGTGTGAGGGAGCTCTTGTTTTCTACTATGTGATGAAGAATCAGCATACTAACTCTGAGTATTTTAATGTCTGTACCTTGGCTAGCAGTGTCTTCCATGTAAGGTATTCATTAACATTAACACCTTAAATATCATTTTATCTATGTACCTTGGCCAGTAGTGTCTTCCATGTAAGGTATTCTTTAAGCACTACACCCCTGAGTATAGTTTTCATCTCTGGTATGCCAGAGCCTGCAGCAGAAGGTGCCATCCACTGGCAGAACGCAGCAGAAAATATCACCAAAAGTGTGGGGATAATGACCCAAGAGAACAGTTGTAAAGCCCAGTGGAAATTCCCCAGGTATTCTTGCAAATACATCCGACCTGGAAGAAAAAACTAAATTAGGGACTCAAATTTAAATAGACAATACATTCTAACTTTGCCGAGTTATCTTAGTTTAAAATTTATAATTTATCACAACCACATGACTATAAAATGGTGCATATTGCAAAGTAGAAATTTACACCAGTATTTTGTAAAAGAATCGGTAAATTTAACTTGAATCAATCTACTAACCAGGCACCTGGAAGTTTAAGCCAGTTAAATATTAACTAACTTATAAAACACTGCATTAAATAACTTTATATTAATTAAAATATGCCACTGAGCTTCAAATGCTTCATCTTTCCCTGCATCTCAGGAAAGTTTTTCTTTCCAATTAACTATTACCCAAAAACTTAATTAGATCCTGACCTTGGCTTTCTTTGAAGCCTAGCAGAAACACCTCAGTGGGCCTACTGATGCAAGCTAGGCTGGTCTAAATGGCATGCAATCACGCTCACTCATGTACCTATCCAACCTATTACTACTCGCTTCAGTTATGCTACTCTGGAGTTGGTTCTTGGATCTGCCTTCCATAACTATGGAACTGTACACCTTCCATCTAGACTGAGGGACTGGACACTTAAAAATGACTTCTCAGATGGGAAATTCATCACCAAAGATCAAGGCAGTGATAAAGAGAGATGTCCTTGGGTCGGTTAGCTGGACCCCTGACCTACAAAGTCCCGAGAAAGTGCAGGGAAATAATAACACATTCTCAGGACTGGAAATGAAGTCTACACTCCTTCAACGCCGGCGTTGAAGTCACTGTGTTCAGTCATCTGGTCAGTATTGTAAACCATTAATGCAAAAATGCTTTAAATCTAACAATAATAATAATAATAATAATAATAATAATATATTACTACTACTGTACTAATAATATAATAATTAGCAAAGTATAGTAATAATGCATGTCACGATAAAAAAAAATAATAGTAATAGTGTAATGCCCTTTCCTCACAAAATAACGCGACTTAAAACATGATGCACATTTGAGAAAATATATTGTACCTCCAAAACAGATAAGAACGATGTCATCAATGAGGAAGGAGATGGTGGCCATGAGCGTGCCTAAGATGAAGAGGAAGACCCAGTCCTCACCCAGGCGGGCGAAGGTGTGGTCCCAAATTGGTCTGAAAAGGAAAAATCAACCTTAACAATGACGACATTGCTAATAATATTTAATGGAATATTCCTGTGTATGCAAATTACAGGTAAATGTTTCTGAATATTTCGTTTGTTGTGAGAATTATAAGTATTAAATTCTATCTCGTGGACCGGTGTATGCAGGAGAGGACAAAACTGATCACTGTCTAGTTATTATTATAATCAGAACTAAGCGCTAAACCCACAAGGCTCGTCCAGCAATCACTGCCTAGTACCACTGACTGGAGCGCACACCTAGTTCGCTGGGCGCCAGAGCTTTGTATAACAAACAGGAGTTATACAATCTTATCAAGTATACAGGTCAACTCAAGGTACTGAAGACTTTGGAGAGGGGGGAAAATCCCTTCAAGGTGATACAGGTGTACTGATGTTGGTGAAGGGCTCTTGATTCAAGAAATATGAGCAACCCTCCCCTTCCTTGGATCAAATCTTGTTGCATTCTATTCCCCAGGCGCTCTATGACCAAGAATTTTGCACGTCCCACGAGTATAAGGCATTCACTCCCTATCAAGACTGTGGTCCTGATCACCTCAAATTACCTCGCCACTCTTCCACCATCTCTGGTATTTATTTTCTGTACTGGATTGAAAAAAGATATCTAGGTGTTACATATGTTATTCATCAACCAGGTATCTATTTACTGTAGGTGAACAGGGGCAGGTGTAAAAGAAAACTTGATCATACATATTATTTTGTATGGAAATCGAACCCAGGTCCTTTCGATTCTAAGGAAAACGCTCCGCTACTACTTTAGCCTAGGATCTTCAGTGTCTTGGACGAGGTCAGTGAACGAATTGTGGAGAGCTGTGCAGGCGGTCATTATTTACCCGGATATATTGATTACCGGGGTGGAGCACAGCAGAAGCAAAAGCAGCAGACAACACACCCTGCACTACTTCATTCCTCATACACTGGACAACACACCCTGCACTACCTCATTCCTCATACACTGGATAACACACCCTGAACTACCTCATTCTTCATACACTGGACAACACACCCTGAACTACCTATGGTCCCACTCATTGGAGGTGAATTGGCCTAATCCCTCAACCATTTCAACCTCAATCATTACTATCCTGTCTACACAAAATAGGTGCCAGATTAGCCAATTTGTGAAGGCTATGTAGGTTTGCGGGTCACTATAACCAGCAGCTTGGCTGACTTAAATGAAGTGCGGAAAACTTTATAAATGACTAACTTTTCACTTGGTTTATAAGGTTTTCAAGTAAGTGACTTCAACTATAGTAAAAACACCTGTGTACACTTCAGTGGTGTCTTCGGTCCTAATACAGAGTAAGCTAAAAAAAAGTATTTTACAGTGGTCTGGGATACGTGACAGATAGTGAGGCGAGATGAGTCACGTTGCAGAAAGTGGGTATCACGTGAGAGACGAGCCTAATACTGGTAATAAATCTGCTGGTCAAAAGTCTGGAAACAAGCTCACAGATCTTTGTGGGATGTGTCGATGGTGTTAATTACGGCAGATCCCAGCAACTTTTGCCTGTGTTGTCACGCATGAGTAAGTGGGTCTCATTCCACTTCATCGTGTATTTAGAAATCGTCGTGTTATCATCCTAATTGCAGGTGTACTGTATGTGTTCGTGAATTCTAATTTCAAAAAATCTAACACTCTCCCCCAACGTACTTTTTATCGCACCTCCTCTCCCGTACCTCCCCAAAAGCCGGGTTGACCAAGGCAACGCTTGTATCGAGCATAGGGACCATTGTGGACACCCGATGAAGTGGAATGAAGCCCGTGTCTCACTTGTGACAATCACCAGACTACAAGGTTTGCGAGAAGGAGAATGTAGAATATAACTTTGGTATAACTGTGTCTAGCATTAGGAATAATATTAGGAGAGAAGTAAATAATGAAAATGATTGTTATAGGAATGCAGTTAGAAGCCTGAGTAGATCTATAACCCACTATGATAACATGAACGTAGATAAGTATGTTTATGGAGCAACTTGCAATGTGAACAGACTGACTGATGTTGTAGTGGCCAGGCTTAGGCTTGGTTACAAGTACTTCTGGCAGTTTGGGAGACACACAGATGATGATCAAACTAAATGTAAATTATGTGATCAGGCATATGGTCACTCTCTTGAACACTGTGCTTAATTGTCCACTTATTGAGGAATACAGAGACAGACAGTATAATAACCTATGTGACATGTCAAGATATCTTATTAATGAAAATAAGATACCAGATATACTAAGCAAATTTCCTAAATTTGCTTGTAACAGATAAGTGAACTATAGATATGTAGATATAAATCCATATGTATTCCTGTTAACCCTTTGGGGCCTAGTTCCTAGGCCTTTTGTGTATCCATATGCTCTCGCGCTACCGTCCACAGGATGGATATGGGGTGCACAATAAACTAGCCACTTCGGTGGCAAAATCTAAATCTATCCTGTGAACACCATTGGCAAATCACTTCATTGCTAATGATAAGATAAACGAAATTAAGAGTGTATCCAGAGTTCGCAATTACCTACTATATGAAGATATTGTTATCTGATAAATGATTCATTGACTTCACTGTTAATATCTGAAATCTTAAGATTGTAAACACATTGCATCAACTAGATTGTAAATTATATAAATATAAATAAACTCCGAGGTTACTTAAATAAAACAAATCACAACTATAACCAATAATGAAGAAAAGGGCACAATACCATGACTAGAACATAACCAGCAATGTTGACAGACATCTACTCTGAGTATTGCAATCCTTTTTTTGACCTACAACTAATAGGCTGAAATGCAGGTACACAATATTCCAGCCACTCACAGGCTGAAATGCGAGTGCACAATATTCCAGTCACAGGCTGAAATGCGAGTGCACGATATTTCAGTCACTCAGGCTGAAATGCGAGTGCACGATATTCCAGCCACTCAGGCTAAAATGCGAGTGCACGATATTTCAGTCACTCAGGCTAAAATGCGGGTGCACGATATTTCAGTCACTCAGGCTAAAATGCGAGTGCACGATATTCCAGCCACTCACAGGCTGAAATGCGGGTGCACGATATTCCAGCCGCTGAGACAGCAAAATTAGCAATATGATGGATGAAATATGTGGCCAAGCACCGGGCGAGGCTGCAAAGCTCCGCTGGTTTCTTCACAATTACTAGCTTCAACATAATCTGGGAATTCGTCTGTTTTGGGGGCATAGATATTTTCTGACATGTTAATTAGTCTAATTATGCTTTATGTTGATAAGATGTTCAGGAGATTGTCTGTACTGGACGACTACCTGGAGTTTACCTGGAGAGAGTTTCGGGGGTCAATGCCCCCGCGGCCCGGTCTGTGACCAGGCCTCCTGGTGGATCAGCGCCTGATCAACCAGGCTGTTGCTGCTGGCTGCACGCAAACCAACGTACGAGCCACAGCCCGGCTGATCAGGAACTGACTTTAGGTGCTTGTCCAGTGCCAGCTTGAAGACTGCCAGGGGTCTGTTGGTAATCCCCCTTATGTGTGCTGGGAGGCAGTTGAACAGTCTCGGGCCCCTGACACTTATTGTATGGTCTCTTAACGTGCTAGTGACACCCCTGCTTTTCATTGGGGGGATGGTGCATCGTCTGCCAAGTCTTTTGCTTTCGTAGTGAGTGATTTTCGTGTGCAAGTTCGGTACTAGTCCCTCTAGGATTTTCCAGGTGTATATAATCATGTATCTCTCCCTCCTGCGTTCCAGGGAATACAGGTTTAGAAACCTCAAGCGCTCCCAGTAATTGAGGTGTTTTATCTCCGTTATGCGCGCCGTGAAAGTTCTCTGTACATTTTCTAGGTCGGCAATTTCACCTGCCTTGAAAGGTGCTGTTAGAGTGCAGCAATATTCCAGCCTAGATAGAACAAGTGACCTGAAGAGTGTCATCATGGGCTTGGCCTCCCTAGTTTTGAAGGTTCTCATTATCCATCCTGTTATCTCATTATCCATCCTATGTTGTATATGCGTTTTAATAAAAGAGGTTTTGTTTACCAGGGACTAAAAACTCTCACTAAAAGAATGGCGGGAAATGACATTTTATTGAGAAGACGATACGTCTTCTCAATAAAATGCCATAAACAGAATAATGTGTTTTGTTAGCATGGACGTGCTGGCTGTATTGTCATATACACGGAGAAGAGTTAATCCATTAAGAGCCATACAGCGCCTGGGAAATAGGAGGGAGGTCATAAAGTTTGATTAAAGGAAGGTGAAGGTGGTTTCAATTCCTTGGTTGAAGCGCCCTTCACTGTTATCAAGGCACCTCCACTGAACGAGCAGACATGTGTTGTGATGGTGGAGGATGTTATTGCTGTGTTGGCTCCAAGCCATCCTCGCCTCACTCCCGTACAGCTTTATCACCCTCGAGTCTAGCCAGTAACTGGATGGGTGACAGCTTCGACGTTGCTGCTGCTCTATTCTCAAAGGCTTGGCTGTTTGTTTATATATATATATATAATGTATTATATATATATGTATATATATTATATATATATATATATATATATGTTATTATTCGTATATTATACTATTATATATATTAGGTTTATTCCTATTCCTATCTTATTCCTCGCATGAATTTTCAGCCATTTCAACATTGCAAGGCGATTCATCTCTGTTAGAACGCTTGGCTTGCAACCGAAAGGATTTAGAATCGATCTCTGAAAGAGGCGAGATGCATGGGACAACTGTCCTTACACTTGCTATTCCTGGCCACCTAACAATAAATAAGTACATGGCTGTTAATCAAATGATGTGAGTAGCAACCTGAAGAAAACGATTATTTGTTTATTAAACAAAAACTGGATACATCAGCATTGTGCTGTTACATTATTTAAAAAAAATGGATACATTGAAATTGTGCTGCTACCTTATACCGAGTTACACAGCGGGAACAAAGCTAACGAAGTTTCCCTGACACATTCCACGCAAGATGAGGCTCATACAAGGCGTTGAAATATGTTAG